ACCATACGAAGAACGTGTTCGGGCATACATGTCGGCCCGAAATAGAATTTTTGGTGAGCGACAGCTGGAGGGGATGACGCTAGCCACCCGGAGAATGGTGAAGGCACGTGCGCGCTTCCGCAGACGCAGGATTACCAGGCGCCAGGTCGTCGAAGCGGTGAGACGGGAGGAGAGTATAGACCCACGAGTATTCGCCGAAGTGGAGGTCGCTGGAGCCAAAATGAAAGGGTTGCTGGACACGGGGGCCTCAGTCAGTCTGTTGGGACAAGGATGCCGGGAGTTAGTGGAGAAACTGGGATGGGAAGCGCGGCCATACGAATCGATGGTGAGGACAGCGGCGGGTGCCAATCGCCCAATTTTAGGTCGCGTTGTTCTGCCTGTGAAATACGGGAATAGAACGGAAGATATCGTATTTTACATGTGCCCGGACCTGCGACAGGAACTATACCTGGGAATCGACTTCTGGCGAGCCTTTGAGATCGCACCAGAGCTGCTCGGTCCGGCCAGAAAGTCCGAAACACCACCAGAGGCATCTGAGGTAACGGTAGCGAACCCAGAGGTGGCTTATTACCGGGACGACGACGACTGCGTAACGGATCCGGAAATGTGGGACCTGGACAACGATCAGAGGAGTCAGTTGGAAAGCGTGAAGCGCAGATTTCTCCAATTTGAGAAGGATGGCCTAGGGAAAACTCACCTGCTGCAGCACCGAATTCAGCTGATCGAGGGAGCAGAACCCGTGAAAGACAGACATTATCCGCTGTCCCCGGCCAAACAGGAGATCGTGTGGGCCGAGGTGGATAAGATGCTAAAGTTGGGCATCATCGAGGAGAGTGACAGCCCCTGGAGCAACCGGACGACGGTGGTGATGAGGCCTGGGAAGAACAGGTTTTGCTTAGACGCCAGGAAATTAAACAGTGTAACGGTAAAAGACGCGTACCCGCTTCCATGCATCGAGGGCATCCTATCGCGAATCGACGAGACTCATTTTATCTCTAGCGTCGACCTTAAGTTCGCGTTCTGGCAAATAGAGATGGAGGAGAAGAGCAGGGCGTATACGGCGTTTACTGTACCAGGGAGGCCGCTGTACCAGTTCCGCCACATGCCATTCGGGCTCTGCAACGCCGCTCAACAGCTTTGCAGGCTCATGGACAAGGTAATCCCGGCGAATCTGAGGTCCAACGTATTCGTATACCTGGACGACTTGCTGATAATATCGGCAGATTTTCCAACGCACTTAAAATACTTGGAATTGGTGGCCGAGTGTCTGAGGAACGCGAACCTCACCATAGGCATGGCGAAGTCGAAATTCTGCTTCCGCAACCTAAACTACCTGGGTTTCATCATAGGCGGCGGGACGCTGCGCATGGATCCGGGAAGGGTAGAAGCGATCCGGAACATCCCGAATCCGAGGACGGTCAAGGAACTACGAAGCTTCTTAGGTACGGCGGGGTGGTACCGCCGATTCATAAAGAATTTCGCTGAGATATCGGTACCGTTGACTGATGCCCTTAAGAAGAGAACGGGTAGATTTGTGTTGAGCGACGAGGCCATAGAAGCCATAGAGAGCTTAAAGTTAGCCCTCACCACAGCCCCGGTGTTAGTTCACGCAGATTTTCGAAGACCATTCTTCATCCAATGCGACGCATCTCACTACGGAGTAGGAGCCGTGTTGTTCCAGCTAGACGACGAACAACAGGAAAGGCCGATCGCATTCTTCTCGGCCAAACTCAACAAGCACCAGATCAACTATTCGGTGACCGAGAAGGAATGCCTAGCCGCCAAACTGGCCATACATCGATTCCGGCCGTACGTGGAGATGATGCCGTTCACGGTAATCACCGATCATGCGAGTCTGCAGTGGCTTATGAGTCTCAAAGACTTGAGCGGGAGATTAGCCAGGTGGTCCCTCGAACTGCAAGCGTTCCCTTTCTCCATGCAGTACCGCAAGGGAGCCGACAACGTCGTCGCAGACACATTGTCCCGAAGCGTGGAAGAGGTCGAACTGACCCCGGAAGATCTGTTGGGATTTCAGACCCCGGAGTTCGAGAGCACCGAATATCGAGAGCTGAGAAGAGAGGTGATGAGCCAACAAGGGAAGTTGCCGGACCTTAGAGTGCAGGACGGACTTCTGTTCAAGAGGACCGTGCACGAGAGCTTGGAGGATGAGGTCGAAGGCACAAGTTGGAAGCTCTGGGTGCCGGAGTCGCTGACGGCAGGACTCATCCAACAAGCACACGCGGACGAGACGTCAGCTCATGGAGGCATGAGGAAAACGCTGCACGCGCTGCGCAGGCAATATTATTGGCCCAACATGGCCATACAAGTCAGGGACTATGTTCGGAAATGCGACACATGCAAGGAGACCAAGGCACAGAACTACCGAATGCAGGTCGGAATTGGGGAAGAAGTGCGCACCGACCGCCCCTTCCAGAAGCTATATATCGACTTCTTGGGGAAGTATCCACGGTCGAAACGAGGGCATGCGTGGATATTCGTCGTCGTAGACCACTTCTCGAAGTTTACCTTCCTGAAGGCCATGAGGGAAGCCACCGCGGCGGATGTCGTGAACTTCCTAGTGCATGAGGTGTTCTTCAAATTTGGCGTGCCGGAAGTGATCCATTCGGATAATGGACGACAATTCGTGTCAAAGTCGTTCGATGCGATGGTCCAGGCGTTTGGCATTACTCACCTGCGCACACCAGTGTATTCGCCTCAGAGCAACGCCGCCGAACGCGTGAACCGCACAGTGCTGTCGGCAATCCGAACCTACCTGGGTCAGGATCATCGGGAATGGGACGCGTACCTACCAGAGGTGGAAGTGGCGATCCGGAATGCGGTCCACAGCGCTACGGGAGTCACTCCGTTCTTCGCGGTCTTTGGACAGCAGATGTACCTGAATGGTTCCAGTTACAAACTGGCCAGGAAGCTGAGATCATTGGCCGACCACAGTATTTCTGACCTTGACGCAAAGGACAGACTGGCTGTAATCCGAAGCCAAGTCAAGGACCACCTGCACACCGCATACGAGCGAAGTCGCCAACGGTACGACCACCGCGCGCGACAGCTCCATCTGGAACCGGGACAGGAAGTGTGGAGGCGCAACTTCGCACTAAGCAGCTTCGGCAAAGCCTTCAATGCCAAGTTCGCCCGGAAGTTCTTGAAGAGCCGCGTCGTCCGAGCCGTGGGAACCAACGCCTACGAGTTGGAAGATCTCCAGGGACGCGTGCTAGGCGTCTTCCACGCAAAAGATATACGAACATAATCGTAATTTGCTCACCTCCTTGCCAGGCAACGGCGGCGGCAGCGCCAGTCCCCCCTTTTTTTTTGGGGTCAGCAAAAAAAAATATAGATTACTTGTCGTGGGTGTGGCCTACGTTGGGCATCGTTATTAGCCGGCTGGGTCAATCCATGAAATGCGCACGCAGATTCCTCGTAACTGTCCTTCATGTCGTTACAATAATCTGCGTGGTGATGTTGCATTTGACGTTATCGGCAGCACCGAGGGTTACTCAGTTGGTTGCGTGCGATATTATCGGCCACGCCGATATCTTTTTGGCATATGGTCGGAGTATGCGGGGTGAAGCTGGGCCCACGGCGGAGCCCAAAATTTTGAAGGGTGGCAACGCCAGACATGCGATCCACGGCGCCAAAAGCGACGATTGCTATTGGCCGCCCGTTTCGCTCTTAAAGGGAATACGAGGAGAGTGGATCGCATGCCCTTGGATATGCCCTTGGCCTTCATTTGGGCCGTTGACCCAAAAAAATGCAGCTGTGCAGATGAGCAGCAACGGTGCCCGCCTCGCAAATGTATGCGTGTGCCGAAATTCGGCACCGATGGTGTGGCTGCCAAAAATGTCGAGGAGTTCGATTTGTTCAGCGGTTAACGGCGGGCGTGCCAGCTCGAAGTGAGCAAAAAAGTTGGACATTGCATTTCTGCTTGACAGAGTAAAATTTTTTCCCTTCTGAAAAATTAAGCCGGCACATAATACCAATGGCTTAACAGACGAATAAAAGTTTTGTTTTTGTGTTCTTTGCCATGTAATAAATTTATATAAATCAAACCGCTCGAATCACAAAGAAAATATAATAAAAAAATTAAAAGAGACTTAAAAATTTAAGTGCGACGAGAGACGAACCAAATAAGCCAAAAATTAACGGCTCCGGCACCAAGGAGACCAGCTCGCGCACCAGAGAGGCCCACGAAATATTCAAGGCCAGGATTCAGTGCAGCGGCGCAAACCAGCCATATCCGCGACGCCGCCAGCAAGCGTCGGCGCAAACGTGAAGGCGACGAGACGAGCCACCAACGACCGGGCTCCAACAACGAAGAAGCGGCCACAGGCGAGACCCCGCCCACATCCACCGAGTGAGTCCGTTCCATTGTTTTGCCCACCCTCGTTCGAGCCCCTGGCAGAGTCAGATGAAGACTCCTAATTGCACTCCCTGAAAAGGAGTAGATTTTTTTTTATCGTTAAATTTGGTTAATTTGTATTTATAAAATATATTCATACATACATAGGCACTTACGCCGAGCTTCACTTTAGAGTGCGAACGGTGAGGAAAACTCCAACGGTGATGCATCTGCGCCTGTAAAATATAAAAAAAAAATCTAAAATTAACTCTTGCGCGAACTATGCCCACATACTTACCTAATTTGAATTTACGCATTTATATCGCCCCTTACCACCCCCAGAGAGCTCTTTAGGTAGGGTAAGGTAGAATTAAGCGATTTAATACATACAATACACAATACGTGACATACCCAGTTTTAAGTAATTGTGCGGGCCATTGTTCCTAAATCGGGGCAACGATTGCCTCTAAAGTGCCTCATTGCGCGTTTCTTTTGCGGCGACTAGCAATATCCCTGTAGTGTTTCGTCGCCTGTTCCATTCAGTGTTGTAAAAAAATAAAAAAGATTAATTCTATAAGATAAGAGAAAAATTTAGGAATTAATGTGCTGTGTCAATTAGTATAAATATATGCAGCAGTAATACGCACCTGTGAAGTTAATGAATTATCCGCTTGCATGAGATCCTAAACAGCTGCAAGATAAATGCCATAAGCAATGATTATGGTTGTTATACATTTTAAGAAAACGCAACCAATTATACGCACCTATTGAAAGAAATCATGTCCGGCTAAAATAATATTGCTGGGGAGAGTGGGCATTATGGCCGACACGGGCTAATATAGGCCATTTGGTGGCCAAAATGAGGGAGACGAGTGGAGGTGATCGTCTCATGGTAGGGCGGGTACGCTGGGTCCGGAACCGGGGCCCGATCTGGAAGAGTAAGGTGGATAAATAGTGTTTTTTTGTTAATTTATATTGAGTGTCTTACCTTTGTTGTTTACATTTTCATAGTTGTTACAGCTGTGTATTTTGTTCATGAGTTAGTAGTTCCGAATATTTGTTATCGATTATGCGGTTCATTTTGAGTAGTGTTGTGTGAGTCTGTTTTGCTACAGACGTGTAGCTTTGTTGTTATCGATTGTGCGGACTGCGGGCCAGGGATGGGACCACACCCAGAGAATCCGATGAGCCAGCCGGCGCGGCCCACTGAGAAACAAGCAGTTCCGTATCAATGCATTTAAATATTACACCTACGAAATTAGTTCGAGAAATAAAGCAAAAAAAAAAAAACTATAATACAAAAGGTTTTGCTATCAATTTTTGTCAATTCTATTTTCTGCAGTTGTGGGCTTAAGCCAAAAAAATGTGTACGTTGCGGTTGGGTATAACCGACTGCGAAATACTGTGTTCACAACAGGGCAAACAAGTTGGGTGCTTTCTTTAACGGTTTGGATTTAATTAACGTTTTTATATACGCTCGTATCGTAAAACTTGTATTCCACATTCTTGAACTCGGCAATTAAATGTTTGCTTTAGATTTTAATGATCTAAAATAGAGATGAACTAACTTACAATGTTCAAAATCAATATACCCTTTTCACCCAACAAAGTTTATCAAATACATATACACTCACATATCTGCATACTTATATATGTACCTTAGTGTATATGCACGGTAGTTGGAGGGAGATGGGAATAGAGAAGCCGGCACTTTCCAACACAGACACAAAAGAATTGTAAACAAGTTAAGCAAGTTGCAAGCAGAAACAGCTGTTTGCAAGAAGACATTTAAAAGGCAAAGCATTAACCATGTGATATACTATAAGCTTTAGATGTTGAGTGCAAATACCACTAACAAAATATAAAAGACCCAAATTAATTGATATTTAACATATCTGTACGCATGTACATATGCTTATATACACATATACATATGCACATATATATATACGCATATTTATGTCTGAATATTTTCTCGCGTGTAGACACAAATTATCCATGGGGCGTCGAGCACAACGATATTGGAAGTTTAGTATCAATTTGGCGTTTAGAGCGTGCAGACCTTTATCGCTCTATCGAAAATAAAATATTTAACCGAAAATGGCAAAAGATAACTTAACAGCTGTTTTACATGGCATTAACGACTTGCGATTGGTAAGATTAAAACTCAATTATATTGTTAAATTAAATCGACTGTTTAATTGTATATGCAGGAGCAACGTCCCATACCGGAAATAACCGATGAGGGTAAGCTTAAAATCAAATTAGATAACAAATATCAAACCTATCGATGGTTAATTTTTTAAATTAAAAATGCACAGAGGTTTTGGTGGCAATGGATAGCGTCGGTATTTGCGGCTCAGATGTGCATTATCTGACAAAGGGTCGCATCGGGCACTTTGTGGTCACGAAGCCCATGGTCATTGGCCATGAAAGTGCTGGCGTGGTGGCCAAAGTGGGCAGCAAAGTGAAGAATCTCGTTGTAGGCGACCGCGTCGCCATTGAGCCAGGCGTGCCTTGCTATAAATGTGATCACTGCAAGCAGGGCAGCTATAATCTGTGCCCTGACATGGCATTCTGTGCCACGCCACCCTACGACGGCAATCTGACCCGGTACTACAAGCATGCAGCGGACTTTTGCTTCAAGCTACCCGACCACGTCACGATGGAGGAAGCTGCCCTCTTGGAGCCGCTGTCGGTGGGCGTGCATGCTTGCCGCCGTGCTGGCGTGGGATTAGGCTCAAAGGTGCTTATCCTGGGCGCAGGACCCATTGGATTGGTTACTCTTCTGGTATGTGAACACCATAAACTGATCCATTTCTGTATTGTAAATCCAACAAAATGTTATTATTTAAAGGTCGCGCAATCTTTGGGTGCTACGGAGATTTTGATTACGGATCTAGTGCAACAGCGCTTGGATGTTGCCAAGGAACTTGGCGCCACACACACGCTGCTGCTGAATCGAGATGATACCGGAGAAGAAGTCGCAAATCGTGTGCATCAGATAATGAGTGCGGAACCTGATAAGGCTATCGACTGTTGTGGAGCGGAAAGCAGCACTCGGCTAGCTATCTTTGTAATAGCTAAACTATGAAAAGTATTGATAGTTTATTTGATAATTTTTCCAAAAATTCGCAGGCTACGCGATCTGGAGGTGTTGTTGTTATCGTGGGCATGGGACCGCCGGAAATGAAGCTTCCTCTGTTCAATGCCTTGGCTCGAGAGGTGGACATTCGCGGTGTGTTCCGCTACTGTAACGAGTGAGTAGAAACCTCTATCATTTTTCCAGCTATTGGATGACCTATCTATTTATTTGTAAAGCTATTCCGCTGCCCTGGCGCTGGTTGCCTCCGGTCGGGTGAATGTAAAGCGTCTTGTCACACATCATTTCGACATTACGGAGACTGCGAAGGCATTTGAAACTGCTCGGGATGGTCTAGACGGGGCCATCAAAGTTATGATTCATGTTCAACCGAGAAATACCAATAATCCTGTCGAATTTTAACTATATGTTGAAGCTATCCTTGTAACATAATTCAAAAAAAAAAAAATGTGAATGAAATTTTTCTGGACACAACATTGATTAAGTGTAACAAATTTTAAGTTTGAAAGCGTTTCGATTTTTATCTAAATTGAAAGTTGTACAATTTAGCAGTTTTATCTGTAGATTTGAATGGCCAACAGAAATGTTCAGAGATTATCGCGTAGCCTAAACGGCTTTCTACCCAGCAGGTGTGTGGGCTACGGTCCATTGGCTTCAATGATGCGACAATTGCATAATGAAGAAGTGAGCCTCGATGATCTGATCAAGAAACGTATGCGAAAGCTATTGATGGCCAATGAAGCTTCGGCCAGTTGTTGTATAAACCGAATACATGATACCAGTAAATCCCTCGCAAACGCCAATCCAAGAGACGAAACAATCAATGCTCCACTGGAAAAGTCCCATCAACCGTTTATCTTTAGGTTCCAAAGGTCAACCGTGAGAAACAGCAATTCAACGTTTACAACGAGAGGACTTCTTTCAGTAAAAAAAATATGATATTAGCTTCACTAATCGCCGCTACAGCGAAAATTCGAAGGATAACATGCCTGTTGTTTTACACGGCAACAAAGGCTTGCGTCTGAAGAGAGAAAACAAGAGGCAAGCATTTCCAGTTATGTATGCAGAATTAAGTTCCTTTACACGAACTTAGACTGTGGTAAGTTTCTTGATACCCTTATTTCCTTTGCTATTCACATTTGCAGAGGACTTGTTAGAAATGAACACTTGCGGTATTTGTGGGACAGACATTCACATTAAGGTAAAAAATGTCATGACCATTGGCTAGTAATGTTCCGGAGTAGAGGTTGATATTTTTAACAGGGTACCACGAAGATCTGGTTAACTTGTGCTATAAGCTGCCCGCTCCTGTAACTATGGAAGAGGGTGTTTCAGGATCCAAATTCTGGGTGCAGCACCAATTGGAATGGTTACGCTACTGGTGAGTGTAGACTGATAACTGAACAGTTCTCGTACATATGAACATTTTCCTACATGGCTCAATATTTCAATTACGTATCTAGGGCAACGGCTTCAGGATGTGGCTAAGGCAGTTAAACACTAAACGTGGTGCTGAGCCCCAAGAAGTCACAACGATTGCCGCGTCATATGATGGGCGTGGGGCCTGACAAGTGAATTGACTGCATCGGAATAGAGAGCTGCACCTACACCTGGAGGCTGACTTAAGCATTGATTTCCAATTTTGCTAATACCCTTAAACTGTGTTAAACCTGACAACAGAGCCTGACGGAGTCGTTGTCATCATTGTTTGCTCCCACTCTGACGCACATCGACGTAATGTAAAGCGCCTTGTCACACATCATTTTGATCTTTGTGAGGCTGTAGAGGGGTTTAAAAGATACCTTGCAATCCGGGGTCGCCAACAATTTCTGTATATTTCAGTCAAATACCTTCTTCCATTCAGTTTGAATAAAATTTTAAGAGCATGTCTTTATTTAAAAGCAGTCCTTTGAGATCTATTAATTAATCACAGGAAACTTGTTTTATGTTTCGAATGAACTTTGGTTTTGTATGTTAAGAAAATTGTTAATGGTCCTGATTGTAGCGTAGTTTGGCGAAGTAAAATAATCAAAATAGAAATTTTTTCGGTTTATCTGAAGATAATTATATAACTAAAGATCAAGATAAATATTTTGCATCTAAAAGGTTTTTAAAAGTTGCATGTACGACTTTTAAAATAACTAAAACCAATCTTCCTTTGATCGTCAATATATGTATATGGTCCAAGTCCAAGTCTATAGTCCAATCTCTCAAGAAATTTCAGAGCTTAAATATGAAAGAAAAAAGTGCTAGTGAGTTTTATGATACGATATCCAAAAGTAGTATATTGTTTATTAATTATAAAGTATTATAATTTTTAAGTTTTAACCCATTTTAAAAAATTGTAGGGTATAAAAAAACAGACTCATTTGTTGGCAATAAATTATGTAATACAATTAATGTTTGGACATGAGTCTAGAAATTTTCAATCGTTTGCATCTCAAGCTAGTGAAAGACCTTGATTTTCCCAACATTTGACATTATGGACACCGCAAAGAACTTCGAAACTACCTGAGAATAATCCCATCAAATGTTAGCTATAGATTAAACCTTGTGTAATAAACATATTTTATCATGCACTCAAATTTGTGCAACGTAATTCAAGCATTATTTTTACCTATTCACTGATAATAAATTGTTAATGTGTGGATTATTAGAGTCGCCTAGAGAATAGCTGAGCCCATTGGATGTATAGTTGAAAAGTCAGCTGATTCGTAAATGCCCATTATAATATAATTAATAAAGCTTTCGTAATAATTCACTTGTATTTATAATTATAAATTTCCATCAGCGACACATGCGTATATATACAGAAGTATTTTATTGTATAAGGCATAAAATATAATAATTTGAATATGAAGATGAGACAAATAGAAGGAGAGACAATCCCAATCCAACAGTCCAAAATTAAATGCTAGACTTAGCTGTAAGATGGCTAAAACGGCAGCACTGACAAGAATGCGGCGCTTGGCTCAACTAAAAATGTTTTCTCTATCTTTAATAGTATTAACGCATGCAGTATAAATTAAATGGTAATGAAGGGTTATCTTCGGCACGCCGAAGATTTAATACTCTTGCAGACCCAACCTTTTCATAATGCTCATAATGCTTTGCCCGTATCTAAGAAGCACAGGGAAAATAGTAAGTGTCGAATATGCTATAAGATATATAAAAAAAAAATTATTGTTCTTACAACTTAGTTTTACTCCGATCGTTCCTATGCAAGCTATATGATATAGTAGTCTGATGTAAATAAGATTTTGCTTAAATGTAGGGAGCATAGCCAGACCTATAAATGTTGAGTTCGGTGAAGAAATCTAGAAAAACAAAAAACTTTTCCACACAACAACTTTAGTTCCTTTGGCAGCTATGTGATTTGGTGGTCCGATGTTTTTAGGATTTTGCACATATACGAGGAGCATAGTAAAACTAATAAATGCCGAGTTTGGTCTCGATATATAGATAAACAAAAAACAAGATTTTCATACAAGAGCCGATCGTTCCTATGGCAGCTATGTGATAGTGCCATATGTGATGCGTGCAACAGAAAGAGGGACTTTTGCTGAGTTTCATGACAATAGCTTTAACACTGAGAGACTAGTTCGCATAGAAACACACAGACGGACAGACGGATGTGGTATTGTTGATACGGATCAAGAATATATATATTGTATGATGTTGGAGATGTTTCCTTCTATGCGTTACACATTTCACGACAAAATTACACTACCCCCTGCAAGGGTATAGAAACAAGGTGTGGAACACTTGTAATCTCTCCCATAGACATGTTCACTTGCACTAACGCAAGGTCAAACAAACATGTCAACACAAATGCCGGGAAGTGCAAGCAAATTACAAGCTTACAACAATAAAAATAAAATTATATAAAATTGGAAGCAAATTGCTGATAAACTCGACGAGCTGCGATAGTGGAAAGCGTTGAATTAGTATCAAATCGGCGTTCAAATCGAGCTGACTTCTTTCCGTAAACACATTCGAATATATTACAAGGACACGCATTATCAAAATGACAAAGGATAACCTGACAGCCGTTTTGCATGGCATTGAGGATATGCGTTTGGTATGGCAATCGGACAATGAAACTAAAATAAAAAATAATTTCGTTTATTTGACTCTCTAATTCCATGCGCAGGAGCAACGTCCCATACCGGATATTTCCCCAGATGGTATGTTCAGCTCGTCATAATATAAAATTAATACAGTTGCATTTAAAATTCTCATCTGCAGAGGTTTTGGTGGCAATGGATAGCGTCGGTATTTGCGGCTCAGATGTGCATTATCTGACAAAGGGTCGCATCGGGCACTTTGTGGTCACGAAGCCCATGGTCATTGGCCATGAAAGTGCTGGCGTGGTGGCCAAAGTGGGCAGCAAAGTGAAGAATCTCGTTGTAGGCGACCGCGTCGCCATTGAGCCAGGCGTGCCTTGCTATAAATGTGATCACTGCAAGCAGGGCAGCTATAATCTGTGCCCTGACATGGCATTCTGTGCCACGCCACCCTACGACGGCAATCTGACCCGGTACTACAAGCATGCAGCGGACTTTTGCTTCAAGCTACCCGACCACGTCACGATGGAGGAAGGTGCTTTGCTAGAGCCGTTGTCGGTGGGCGTGCATGCCTGTAACCGAGCCGGCGTGAGCTTGGGCTCTAAGGTGCTCATCCTGGGCGCAGGGCCAATTGGATTGGTTACGCTATTGGTAAGTTGATTGCCTGAAACTAATTCAAGCCGGCCATATTTTATTTTAAGTGTTTAAGGTCGCACAATCTATGGGTGCTACAAAGATTTTAATTACGGACTTGGTGCAACAACGTCTGGATATCGCCAAGGAGCTGGGCGCCACTCATACTCTGCTGATGAAACCTGGCGACACCGCTGAAAATGTCGCGGATCGTGTGCGTCAAGTAATGGGTGATGAGCCTGATAAGTCAATTGACTGCTGTGGAGCGGAGAGCACCACACGCCTTGCAATCTTTGTAAGAGCTTTGCTGATAGGCCCTGATATTTTTATTAATGATCACAACCTTTGTTACGTCAGGCTACACGATCTGGAGGTGTTGTTGTTATCGTGGGCATGGGACCGTCAGAAATGAAGCTTCCTCTGTTCAATGCCTTGGCTCGAGAGGTGGATATTCGCGGTGTGTTCCGCTACTGTAACGAGTGAGTAGAAACCTCTATCATTTTTCCAGCTATTGGATGACCTATCTATTTATTTGTAAAGCTATTCCGCTGCCCTGGCGCTGGTTGCCTCCGGTCGGGTGAATGTAAAGCGACTTGTCACACATCACTTTAACATTACGGAGACTGCGAAGGCATTTGAAACAGCTCGTCTTGGCACAGGCGGTGCCATTAAAGTTATGATACATGTACAACCAAGGAATATCAATAATCCTGTCAAATTTTAGGTATACATCATAGTAAGCCCTGCATCATAGTTCAGAAAAATGTAATACTTGGTGCGTTACGGAACAATAAATTTGTTAGCTTGGTACAAAATTTAAGTTATATTCTTAGAGTTTCAAAATTTTAACACGATTTTTATTCGCTTAGCTTCAGTGGTTTATCTTTAGACTTGCAAAAAAATATACGAAATGTCCAATTTACTGTATTGGCGGTTTTCACGATCCCTATACACGTATTTGTCCATCAGGTACGCTGGCCACCGCCCATTGGCTCCGATGATCCGACACTTTCATGATGATGACTCTGGGCACAAAGACACCAAGAGGAATATGCGACCGCGAGTAGCGAACAAGGATGAAAAAATTCCCTCTGACCTAAAACTCGTAGATTCCAAGACCAAACATAAGATATCTACGGGAACTGCACCCAAGCTATCCATTGAACAGGAAATGAAGGCACTGGGCCACGTTGTTGGCAGCAAGCAGCAGCAGCAGAATAGTAAAGATACCATCAATCTTAAGAGCCATGTTCACGCGAATCCAACGCCTAAATCGACGGACGCTAAGAGTTCATCGAAATCTAGCCAAACAGTTGGGGATCAATCTAAAGACACAGCTGTTGAGTGTCAGTCGAATGCGAGTGCCGTGGAAAGCAGGGTTAGGGCATTTGTTGATTCAATTGAAAGTAGGAAAGCTTCAAGGACTACTGAAAAGCAAGATAAATCTCCAAGTCCCGTAACAACCACCGCCAATAGAAACGCTGTGACTAAGCTAACAGATAAATGCTCTCAAGCTTCGCAGACCGAATCACAAAAAGTTTCAAGCAAAGAGGGTAGTAAAACAGATTTAAAAACTAGGTCCTCATCCCAGACAGGAGTCGGTAGCACCAATCTCTTTGACGGGAAACCAGAATCGTCCCAAACGAAAATGTCGCAAAAACGTTCAGAATCTGCAGGGAATCTAGCAGATAAAAACGTGGGCTTTAAAAGTGACCCCCAAATTCCATGGGAGGGAATGTTTGGAGAGCATTTCAAGACTAGTCCTAAGGGGTCCATAGAAGGAGGATCGAAAGCAGTTGGTTCTAAGGAAGAAAGGTCTCAGTCGTTGCACGTGGTTAGCTCTAAAGATCAAAATAAAATAAATGATAAGTTATCTCAAGTGGAAGCGAAACCAGAGACTACGAAAATTAAAAGCCAATCTGCAGGTGATAGAAATTTACAGCAGAATATTAACAAGACCAAACCAGAGCCAAATCAATCTCTAACTAAGGGTGCGAGGAGCAATAGCCTAGGCTGTGCAGTACAAAATTCACCCAAAACGGAAGCTCCTAGTACCGAAATCAAAAACAAAACTATACTAAATCCATGGAAAACGGAAACCTCCAGCAGCAATAACATAGATAAAGCTAATTCAAATCAAGCTCAAACAAAAGACCCGAGATGCAATAGCGTCGGCAAAACGGGAGCTGAATTAGCTATGGAAGGCAACTCGGCTTTGAAATCTGCGATTCCTCAGAAGGAGAAATCCAATATCTGCTTCAAATTTGAGCACAAGGTTTCTAAGCCCGTTCAGAGTCAGACAGAAATCAAAACTGCAGTAATTAAAGATGACGCAGCATTAAAGGACGTACTTAAGGGTTCGAATAAGCATGACGAATGGATTGCTAAGATTCTTTCCCCTCCAAACAAAGGTTATGAATCCTCGAAGATCAAATCGAATACCGCCCATAAAATTGAGGATGGGTTTTCTAAGGCCATGCCCCATCAGAACAAGTCGGACAACAAATTTGCACCGAGCAAAACGGATGAAGCTTCAAGGGACAAATCTAAAATCCAGTCAGACATCAAACCCACAGGAGCTGAGTCTGAAAAGGCCTCAAAAGATAACTATAGCAGCACTTTTAATGTCGACGATGGATTTTCCAAAGCTAATCCATATCAAAAGCAGCCCGACAACAAATCTGCACTTAACAAACCAAGCTCCAAATTTGATGAGGCAACTCAAAATAAATCAAATTCCATCTACTATGTGAAGAGCTGGAATTCTGAACTAAAACAATCACAGAACGAGTTGATCAAGAAATCCGGTGTAATGAAACCCGATGAGGCCTCAAGAGACAAACCTAATAGCTTCAACAAAGATGGAGAAAGGTTTCACAAATCAAAGCCCTCTCAGAGTCAGTTCGACAATAAACTCTCGGCGGACAAATTGGATGAGATGCCGATGAACAAATCAAATATTATTTATAAAGTCACAGATTTGTCTTCTGAAGCCCTGCCAAACCAGTCAACCAACAAACATGGAGCTAACAAAATGGATGAGGCTTCCAATAAGAACCTCTCTACCCCTAAAGAAACCAGTAACGATTTGCTGGAGTCGTTCAGTGTCGTAAGATCTGCGTCCACTTCTGATAGAAAATTCTCCGGTGATATAGTCAAGGTTGAAAAAATCGAGTTGCTCCCGGAGAACACTGTGGAGGAAAAAGCCTTCACGACACCATCAAAACGGGCTAATATTCAGGATGGATTCAACTCAGATTTGAAGTATCGGTCCAGTATCGAAAAAGCCAATTCCTATGACAGGAAAGCAGAAATTCAGCAATCTGCCAGGCCGCAGTATGGTCTGAAATCTGCGGAGAAAACAAAGTCAACTGCGTTTGGTTCTAGTCAAAAATCGAATAGGGGCACGATTGGTTCGCTTTTGCAAGCTGTTCGCCAGAATCCAAATAGGCAAGAAAAGGCAGCAAAAGGTCATCAAGAAGAGGTCGTAAATATACTAAAGGAAAAGATCAAGGAAGACGAAAAAAAAGCAGAGTTCCTTGAAATTATAGCTGACGAGCTGCGATCTAGACGTGCGATCGACACCACCCCAGTGAATGATAATAAAATGAATCCAATGAAGAGTGGAGATGCGCCTACCACAGCTCGCACAGAAGGAACTAGCGGTGCCATGTCAAAGGATAAGCCTAGTTCTAATCATGATCGTGAGCTTACTGCAACTATTGCAGCAGCAATCGTTAAGGGCATATCAGAGAGTTCTGCAACATCTAAGGAGAGTGATACAATTGCAGGTAAAAGTATGCCAATAGTATCGCTTCAAGAGCTGAGGGCTTCTGGACAACGTGATAGTCATTTAACGTCCACATCGTTGGGTAATTCTAATTCAGGCAAAACTATGACATCTTATGGCAAAACAGAGCTCATTGGCACTGACGAGAGCCGGATTGGTGGCAAGCGTGAGACGAATGTAGTTAATGCAGAGCCCGATTCAAAGAAAATGGATAAGAAATTCCGCACCGATCTAATTGTGGATAAAGGTAGCGATAATCAAATTTCTAAGGACATCACATGCAATGTGAGAGACAAATCGACTGAAAAGACACATAAAATCAAGGCTGAAGATATAACACCAGGTGTTCTTTACAATTCCACAACAGAGGGTGAGAATCGCGACTTCCCAACAAACATAAATATTGAAGACGATGATGAAACGTTAAGATTTAAGGCCGAACAATTTTTAAAAGAAAGCGAAGCAAGACAGATTCTAGAGAAAACTAAACATATAAATATCGAGAAACTAGATGTCGATAAGCTAGATGTCGAAAAGCGAGCTGTCGCTCAACTAGATGCCGCTAAACTAGATGCCAATAAGCAAGATTTCGCTAAAGTAGATGTCGCTAAACCAGATGTCGCTAAATTAGATGTCGATAAACTAGATGTCGATGAACTAGATGTCTCTGCACAGCAAAAACCAAAGCCAAAGTTGACGATCTCCCAATATCTCTATGAAATGTTTATGGGCAAACGGAAGAACAATAATGAAAGTGGTCGCAGAAACATCACCACGTACTCGGCGGTTCATAATCGAAACTCAAGACTAGATAATCATACTGAAAGTAAAAGCAAAAAATCTGTTACACCATATGCTAGTAAAAAGACAGCAGAAACTTTTATATCACCGGATCTGGCAAAACGACAGCTAGGTAAAGAAGCTATACTTAAAGGGCGAAGAAGTAAATCCCAAGAAAGTAGACACGGTGTGTATGACAGGGAATCACGTCAGCGTTTCGATCAATTTGAAGTGTCCTGTTCAAAGCAGCTGGTTCTGTCCCAATCAGCTTGCATGCCTGGCATATCACACCAAAAACAGACACTGATTCCAACCCTAAATGATAATGTTATTTTACGTATGCAAAAAACAGAATCAGAGGAGAATTTGGTTAATTTTACCGATGACATTAATAGCACAAAAATTCTTGGTGGCACTCCGTACAAATGCGAAGACAAAAGTCTACGAGCAAAGCTTAAAAATAAAAAGGATAAAAGCGAAATTGTGATTAAAGGTGGATCCAAGAAGTGCTTGGAGAAAGAGAAGGATGTGAAGGAAGCCGAAGACGACGGAGAATGTGGCAAGCGAAGTTTCGGCGCGTTGGGTCGGCAATTATTCCATAACTTGCGTAAGTATATACACAAAAACAAATCTGATTTTGCTTGTCATAAAAGGGTATAGATAGTTGTTAGCGCCACCTGGTGGTTCGCAGCAAAAGCCTGTAAACAAATCTGATTTTGTCTGTCCTATAAAATGATAGATCGTTATTAGCGCCACCTAGCGGTCCGCAGCAAAAACATATAACAAATCAAATTTTCTCGGCATATAAAAGGATATATAATTATTAGCTCCACCTGGTGGTTCGCAGCAAAAACAGATAACCGACTTATTTGGCATTCAATGTCACATCTAGGAGAATGACAGCAATTTGATGTATATTATAATACTTGTTGTAGTTGATAATACGCTATAAATAAGCCTAGTACATGGACCATTAGGTTGTTTGTAAGTCAATAACAAAATACTAATTTATTTGGTCACAGTAATATATATTTCCAGAATCGAAAAGAAACACTAAGCCGGCGGCAACAAATTTACAAAACGCTCAACAATTGGAAGCAGGCCTGGAAGAGTTCAATCCGCTAAGCAATATAAAACATTTTGAGACAAATTTCACGTTTATCAAATTTTAGATATTTGTGAAGAATAATAAAAAGTTAAAAGTTGGAACAATTTTATTTCGCCTTGAAGTACATTCTCTCGATTAACCAATTGGGGGCATAGTGTTCATCCGAAATATTACTCACAACTAATTGTGTAGATAACACAATCTTGCTACTGAGAATTCGTAGTGGAATATTACGAACGGAACGTTTGATTTGCCAAGGTCATGACCGCATGACGTTGAAAATCCGAGTATCGATTGCTTCAACAATTATTTAAATATAGAAAACCATATGGTACAAATGAACATTTTAGTTTTTAAATTGTAGTTTATTATAGTTTACAATCACTATCAGTGTAATCATTATTATTGAGAGGCTTTGGGACTTTTCAAAATAAAGATCGAGTATTGAGAGTGAGAAATGAAAAGAATTTCCAAAGGTAGACAAACCCCTTCATTATTGAATAAATTGGTATAAGCTGGCTCTTAAAAAAGTTTACAGCCAAAGTCAATACTCTTGAAACTTATTGATCGGAAGTACACCTCGGATTCAGCACTTGTCCAGCTGAGGCGTATTTGATAATAAAACCAACCCGGAAAGAGTCCAAGAAGAATACCCTCCCTATATATTAGCGTCTTCAAAGAGCGGAAAGTCTGGAAACAAGAAACGAAAATGTAATCCATGTAATCATAATGAAGGACTTGCATCAATAATAAAAACCACGTTTCGCAACACTATCTTACCGACTTTCATTCAGAGTTGCTCTTGATCAACGGTTTCTAATTGGACTAAATCGTACATAGCGATAGGAGTCTAGTGATAAATCCTATTGGGAGAATTGCAATACATTGGTATCGCTACGATTCCCAAGAAATAAATAATTTGCTTAAAGAGATGGTTCAGGCCGAAAATTATACGTTTTTTGGGATAATTTGGAGTAATATGTTAACGTCAGTTGTTCGATATTATTTTGGATACATTCGGCAAGCTGGGCAATGGTTGTCAATTAAAAATTGTCATTCAAAAGTTGTTGATCTATAGTGCAAACAACATTTTCGGTTTGATTTTTTTCTGGGCCAGACCTAAAAATTTTTCGTAATAAAACAAATTTGTTTAACTAAAATTAATAGCACGGCGTTAATATGTTTACACGAAGTGCGTGCATTAGGGCCTGCAATTCGTGCATGCAGCCCGTGATCACGTTGAACTTTAGCTCCTTGCTATATAAAGGCCTGGCGCAGACGATTGGCAACTGGCAAATTAAAACACGTAATATGTCTATAGGTCAGAATAGCGACAGGAAAAAGAAGCCCTGTAAGTATTTCAATATATTGTCTAATGTATTTAAGCTCATTCGGATGCTAACACAGACGCACATTCAGCGAAAATGAAAGTGAGCATTCGCCGACACAATAAGATATCGTCAGACGAGAATCGGTTAAGTTCTAATCAGAAAAATAAGCTGAAAACGCAATGCAAGATATTGGCTAGGAAATTTAAGCTTGCTTGCCAGCGCTTGGTGGTCGAAGAGTTTGGCGCCGAGAATTTAAAAGAGGACGATAAAAAGAAAATTTCGACAACATGCCAGGAATTAGCCGAACAAGAAAAGTGTCAACTGCTGGAAGAGCTCGAAAATCTGAGAGCTCAATGCGAAACTTTGGGCAAACAGGAGCATCCTAACAAATTGGCCGAGCTAGAAAAACTAAACAATGAAGCGACCGCTCTAGGTGAGTTATGCACAGAATTATATCAGCAACAGGAGAGCTATAAGTTGGCGGATGAAGAACTTAAGAAAGAGGAAAGCGAGCAGCTTCAAGAACCTACGAAAAAAAAAACACGAAAGATGGATAAAGGGGCGATGTTGGAGAAACACAAAAAGCAACAACAGAAGCTTAAAAAACTATCCAAGGAATTGGCCCAGAAAGAAATATGTGCTAAGCTGGAAAAACAATCGCAGCAATCTAAAAAGTCGGCCGAAGAGGCAAAAGCTAAGTCTGAGAAAAGCAAAACTAATTCAAAGCAGAAAAGCAATGAAAAACCTAATAAAAAAGAGCAGCTTGATGAACAGAATAAGAATATGGCCCAGAAGAACGAACAGAAGGGAAAGCAAAGCCAGGGGCAGACCGAAAAAGATAACTGCGAGGAATCGGCCAAGTTAAACAAATTGAGAATGGAGAAGGAGCAGTTCGAGAGGCAGTGTAAGATATTGGAAAAGCTGGAAGAGCTAAAGGAACAGTGCAGAATAATGGCTGAAAAAGCGAAATGTAACTCCAAAAATGAGAAATCTGGTGAAGACGCAGAAAATTCTGAGAAGCAAGGCACGGCTGTTGGAGAAGAGCAAAAATGCAAAGAAATGGCAGAAAAAGAAAAATGTGCTAAGTTAGCTAACCAAGAAAAAGAAAAGAAAGAAAAGGAAGCTCAGGCGAATAAATGCAAAGAAATGGCAGAAAAAGAAAAATGTGCTAAGTTAGCTAACCAAGAAAAAGAAAAGGAAGCTCAGGCGAATAAATGCAAAGAAATGGCTGAAAAAGAAAAATGCTCTAAATTGGCTAACCAAGAAAAAGAAAAAGCTCAGGCGAATAAATGCAAGGAAATGGCGGAAAAAGAAAAATGTGCTAAGTTAGCTAACCAAGAAAAAGAAAAAGCTCAGGCGAATAAATGCAAGGAAATGGCGGAAAAAGAAAAATGTGCTAAGTTAGCTAACCAAGAAAAGGAAAAAGAAAAGGAAGCTCAGGCGAATAAATGTAAGGAAATGGCTGAAAAAGAAAAATGTGCCAAATTATCTAACCAAGAAAAAGAAAAGAAAGAAAAGGAAGCTCAGGCGAATAAATGCAAGGAAATGGCAGAAAAAGAAAAATGTGCTAAGTTAGCTAACCAAGAAAAAGAAAAAGAAAAGGAAGCTCAGGCGAATAAATGCAAAGAAATGGCTGAAAAAGAAAAATGCTCTAAATTGGCTAACCAAGAGAAAGAAAAAGCTCAGGCGAATAAATGCAAGGAAATGGCGGAAAAAGAAAAATGTGCTAAGTTAGCTAACCAAGAAAAAGAAAAAGAAAAGGAAGCTCAGGCGAATAAATGTAAGGAAATGGCTGAAAAAGAAAAATGTGCCAAATTATCTAACCAAGAAAAAGAAAAGAAAGAAAAGGAAGCTCAGGCGAATAAATGCAAGGAAATGGCAGAAAAAGAAAAATGTGCTAAGTTAGCTAACCAAGAAAAAGAAAAAGAAAAGGAAGCTCAGGCGAATAAATGCAAAGAAATGGCTGAAAAAGAAAAATGCTCTAAATTGGCTAACCAAGAGAAAGAAAAAGCTCAGGCGAATAAATGCAAGGAAATGGCTGAAAAAGAAAAATGTGCCAAAGTATCTAACCAAGAAAAAGAAAAGAAAGAAAAAGAAGCTCAGGCGAATAAATGCAAAGAAATGGCGGAGAAAGAAAAATGTGCTAAATTAGCTCAGCTTGAAAAAGAAAAGAAAGAAAAGGAAGCTCAGGCGAATAAATGCAAACAAATGGCTGAAAAAGAAAAATGCGCTAAATTGGCTAAGCAAGAAAAAGAAAAAGGGCAGGCCAATAAGTGCAAGGAAATGGCACAAAAAGAACAATGTGAGAAGTTAGCTGATCTTGAAAAAGAAAAGAAGGAAAAAGAGGAGTTTAAAATGCAATGTCAGATATTGGAAAAGCTTGAAGAACTAAAGATGCAGTGTAAAAAATTGGCTGAGAAGCCTAAAAATAAGCCAACGAATAACAAAAGTTGTTTAAGCCCAGAGGATCTTAGAAAGCGATGCATGGAAATTTCTCTAAAATTAGAGTGCGAGAAATTAGATAAGCAAGAAATGGAAAACAAGGAAAACGAAGGCCAGGATAAGCAGTGCAAGGAACTGGCCCAAAAAGAAAAATGCGCTAAATTAGCTAACCAAGAAAAAGAAAAGGAAGCTCAGGCGAATAAATGCAAAGAAATGGCTGAAAAAGAAAAATGTGCTAAGTTAGCTAACCAAGAAAAGGAAAAAGAAAAGGAAGCTCAGGCGAATAAATGTAAGGAAATGGCTGAAAAAGAAAAATGTGCCAAATTATCTAACCAAGAAAAAGAAAAGAAAGAAAAGGAAGCTCAGGCGAATAAATGCAAAGAAATGGCAGAAAAAGAAAAATGTGCTAAGTTAGCTAACCAAGAAAAAGAAAAAGCTCAGGCGAATAAATGCAAAGAAATGGCTGAAAAAGAAAAATGCGCTAAATTAGCTAACCAAGAAAAAGAAAAGAAGGAAAAGGAAGCTCAGGCGAAAAAATGCAAAGAAATGGCTGAAAAAGAAAAATGTGCTGAATTAGCTAACCAAGAAAAAGAAAAAGAAAAGGAAGCTCAAGCAAATAAATGCAAAGAAATGGCCGAAAAAGAAAAATGCGCTAAATTAGCTAACCAAGAAAAAGAAAAGAAGGAAAAGGAAGCTCAGGCGAAAAAATGCAAAGAAATGGCTGAAAAAGAAAAATGTGCTAAATTAGCTAACCAAGAAAAAGAAAAGGAAGCTCAAGCAAATAAATGCAAAGAAATGGCTGAAAAAGAAAAATGCGCTAAATTAGCTAACCAAGAAAAAGAAAAGAAGGAAAAGGAAGCTCAGGCGAAAAAATGCAAAGAAATGGCTGAAAAAGAAAAATGTGCTAAAATAGCTAACCAAGAAAAGGAAAAAGAAAAGGAAGCTCAGGCGAATAAATGCAAAGAAATGGCTGAAAAAGAAAAATGCGCTAAATTAGCTCAGCTTGAAAAGGAAAAGAAAGAAAAGGAAGAGCTAGATAAGATGTGCAAAGATTTTGCTCAAGAGGAACAGTGCGATGATAAAAATCCAAGCATGATACTAACAAAGCTTGAAGAACTGAAAGAACATTGCAAGAAAATTGGTAATAAAGCTATGCCTAAACCCAAGGTAAGTAGTGACGATCAAAGTCTATGCGAGGGTATGGCCGAAAAAGAAAAATGTGCTAAATTAGCTAAGCAAGAAAAGGAAAAGAAAGAAAAGGAAGCTCAGGCTAATAAATGCAAAGAAATGGCTGAAAAAGAAAAATGCGCTAAATTAGCTGAGCAAGAAAAAGAAATGAAGGAAATTGAAGAACTCTTTAAACAATGCAAAAAACTGGCTGAAAAAGAACAGTGTGCTAAGAAAGAAACAGAGAATCAAAAGGGAGGCCAAGCGAATAAATGCAAAGAAATGGCTGAAAAAGAAAAATGCGCTAAATTAGCTAACCAAGAAAAAGAAAAGAAGGAAAAGGAAGCTCAGGCGAATAAGTGCAAAGAAATGGCTGAAAAAGAAAAATGTGCTAAATTAGCTAACCAAGAAAAGGAAAAAGAAAAGGAAGCTCAGGCGAATAAATGCAAAGAAATGGCTGAAAAAGAAAAATGCGCTAAATTAGCTCAGCTTGAAAAAGAAATGAAAGAAAAGGAAGCTCAGGCGAATAAATGCAACGAAATGGCTGAAAAAGAAAAATGTGCTAAATTAGCTAACCAAGAAAAGGAAAAAGAAAAGGAAGCTCAGGCGAATAAATGCAAAGAAATGGCTGAAAAAGAAAAATGCGCTAAATTAGCTCAGCTTGAAAAAGAAATGAAAGAAAAGGAAGCTCAGGCGAATAAATGCAAAGAAATGGCTGAAAAAGAAAAATGTGCTAAATTAGCTAACAAAGAAAAGGAAAAAGAAAAGGAAGCTCAGGCGAATAAATGCAAAGAAATGGCTGAAAAAGAAAAATGCGCTAAATTAGCTCAGCTTGAAAAAGAAAAGAAAGAAAAGGAAGCTCAGGCGAAAAAATGTAAGGAAATGGCTGAAAAAGAAAAATGTGCTAAATTAGCTAACCAAGAAAAGGAAAAAGAAAAGGAAGCTCAGGCGAATAAATGCAAAGAAATGGCTGAAAAAGAAAAATGCGCTAAATTAGCTCAGCTTGAAAAAGAAATGAAAGAAAAGGAAGCTCAGGCGAATAAATGCAAAGAAATGGCTGAAAAAGAAAAATGCGCTAAATTAGCTCAGCTTGAAAAAGAAAAGAAAGAAAAGGAAGCTCAGGCGAATAAATGCAAGGAAATGGCCCAAAAAGAACAGTGTGATAAATTAGCTAAGAAAGACGAGCAAGAAAAACAGAAGGGGGTTAAAAAGGAATGCAAAGAAAATGCCGAGAAAGCAGAATGCGAAAAAATGGCCATGCAGGAAAAGTTGAAAAAGGAACATTTGGCGTTTAAAGAAAAGTGCGCTAAAATGGCTAATTTTAGGAAGCTAAGAGAAATGTGTCTAAGGTTGGCCGAAGAAAAGAAGTGTAAGGACTTGATGGCGAAGAGTGAATCAGAGAAAGATTCGTGTAAAAGTTCTGATAATGTAAAGACACAAAAGCAGGATGCTTGGGAAGAAAAAAATAATAAATACGAGCCTGACCGCCGAGCCGAACGAAAAGCAGCTGGTGCAAAATTAAGGGAAGAATGCGAAAGAATAGCTAAACAGACTCCAGAAGAGTCCGGATAACGAGTGTTGTCTTAAGGACCTATATGAGCAGAAATCGTGTAGTATACAAACTAGACAATCTCTCAAAACGGTCAACATTAAAAAATAGTAGAAATATTTTTTATTTAGGCCTTATAAATTTATTCCTACGTTTTGGAAATGTGTTGACGGAGCTACCGGAGAAGAATCATGCACATAATAACACACATTTATACAAATAATGTTCATAAATACAAATGATTCAAGCTGCTCCACTCTGCTCTACACAACAGAACAACCGATTTTTGTTTTTATTATCCGATTGTTACCAACTTTTTAGGACAAATATATATACAAATATATATGACAAGCTTAAGTCCATAAAACCGTCATTTTTTCCTCGGAATTTTCAGGTATTTCATGCTATCAAGGATGTCATTGAGTATGCCTATGGACTGGTCTGTTTCAGCTGAAATCTTGTTAATGTGTGCCCTGATCCCGCTTTTTATTCACCAAACTTGTATAGCACATAAAGACAGAAGTGATAATAGAGGTGTTTAATATCGATACAATTTATAACGAGCACTTCTTAGTTTCGACTAGCTCTCGCGCAAATACAAATATACATTAATATTTTGAGCGGCTTAATTGAGATTTTCAAATTGACTAACAATGTGTTTGGCTGACGATTATTTTTATGCTTTCGTTTGGACGGAAAGCTTAGATATAAATGAGAAGTGAATAAAACGTAATAAAAAAAATTGAATAATAGACAGATTAACAAATTTGAAGCACATTTGGAATATAGCAGTGCCACAATTAAATTAAGGGCTTATTGCTGGTGCTGTCGCGTTCTTGAACTGAAAGGTTGGATAGCGCGGAGCAAAGGTGTTGTCTCCAATGCTTTGAGTGTGTTCAGAATCATCACGTCCGCTTATGATTGGTGCACGGTATTCTGTTTCCACAAACTGTGGTGGCGCTGTAAAAAAATTAAAATATCACTTGTACCGCTTGTTTAGTCATGGGAATTAAATTTGTACTAACGAATATTAGGGTACAGTGCGCCTCCGGCACTATCAGCCACATTCCAGCCAAGGGCACCACCCAATCCGCCATCGCCGGGCGGACTAACTGGACTAACCGGTTGTGTGGGTGCTAGAGAGGGATCCTCTGTTTGTGGTTTTAAAGCAGCCAGTGGTATTGTGCCGAGGGTAATTGGCACTTTGCCGGTTAGATTGCGATGTGGTCCACTTACATCGCACTCCACATGCAAATCATAGTCTAGAGCAATTATGCCGCAATTCAGTAAGTTAGTTGGAGGCAGTGCAGGTATTTCCATTTGCTGTGTAAATGTATGAGATTCTCCGGCGTTGACTGGTCCAACGCTCAGCTGGGCAATTATCACTTTTGATTCGCGTTTCTCACTGCGCGGTTGGTTCGTATGGAACGTGACAAGTTTGCGCAATTCAAATTTAACTGCGGTGAGATTCACATTGCTGGTGTTATCAACCTCACAGGTTATGGGCAATATTTGACCCGAAACATAACCAGTTTGTGGTATGCTTGTGATCACGGACAACGGACCAGAGCGGCAGCAAAAACAACAGAATGACTTTTCCAGTTCAAGCTTAAACGTTTCCTTAACGCGTGGATTGAGATTTAAGTCAACTGGCGCTATAACAGTAAATGCCATTTTCATATCCTGATCAAACTTCCAAGGCCTATCCAAAGTAACTTTGATGGTGTAGCGCACATGACCGAATTCACCCTCAAATGAGGAAGGCAAATTGGGCGGTAGAGCGCATGTAAACGGATATGTGTGAGTGCCCGGCGGCAGCTCGGTTTCGGAACCTATAAAACAAAGGATGTTAACCTTACAATTGATTAATCGAGATGGAAAAGCATGACTTACTGTTCTTGCCGCCAAGCAAGTAGTATTGTATCTTGAAGTACTCCTCATGTCCCTTCAGGTGCGTAGTCTCGTTCTCAGTCTTGCCCTCACTGGTTGTAACGTTACGCTCCTCGGTCCACTCCGTGTTCGCTTCGCCCAAAAAACGTATAATAATGCCTGCGTTGAACAAGTGGTTGAAAATTTTCTTGTGCTTGTAAAGAATTTACAATTTATTATTGTGCCACACCTCGCACACCTCGACTGCGTGTCTCGCAAATGCTAAAAATAACTGGCTACTGCGACAAATGCTCAGCTCTGCGATTCTGTCCCGCTCTATGACTGCCAAACCGATGACATCATCGCAAACAGCATCATTCCACTGTTGCGTACCAATAGGTTGACCTCAATTAAATATTTAATGCTCATTGTGTAGAAATTAATTTGGCAAATTTAATGCGTAGATTTTAAAAAATTGGGAGTATTATGTTTTTAGTTTGTATCCAGATCCAGAATGGTATACAAATACAATAAACAAAACAGGGTCCACCCAAAAAACTACACCATGGGTGTTTTATTTACATATATATGACTAACGGGACCGGCTTTTTGCGACTGAGCAGAAGGTTTTTGTTATGGGAGATTAGAAAACCAGCTGTCTTATAAACCAAATAGGTATTTGGTTCTCTAGTATATAAATTGATTATCATTAGCTGCTCTGTTGATGCCGTCACTTTTATGAGTAATACCAACTCAATTATACAGGTCAGAATACATATATTTGAATCAAACTCTTACCTCGTACTTTTTTGGGCGAGTCAAAAGTTATTTTGACTTGGCCGTTGACAGTTTGCCCAGCGTAGTAAGTGTTCCATGGATTGTCCAATTGCACCTCACAGCCTTTGAGACCCATTGTTTAATATTAGGCTAACGTACAAAATAATTCAGTTTAAGTGGCAAAACCCAGCGAAACTAAACAGTACCGAATCGTACGGTATAAGTGCGTTCGAACGACTTACTGAACTGAACCTACGTACTAAATCCCGAACTAAATCCCCTGGTTCGTTCACGTGGCTCGTTTATATGAGGCATTTAGAACTTTACATTTTAATAACAGTTTACCATTTGAGCAGAAATTGTAGATTCATTTTAAAAGAATATAAATTTTGGCAATTTATTTTATGCTTAATTTGAGAAAATACCAATTATATGTGAAAAGGTACAATAATCTAAGGCATATTAAGTTTTCTGTAAAGTGTTAGTTTATTTTGCGTTAAATAAAAAGGCTATCATAAGACCCGGCAAAATGCTGCTTAACGGTGGAGTAATCTTGTTTAATGCAGCCCTTGTCTATATTCGATAAGCCACATGTTATCGAGTCGGTGATATCGACTATAGGATCGAAGAATTTTTATTGCGAAAACGTCGTGTGTGCTAAATTTGGCTTTTAGTTATTGTTAAATATTCTAATTTACGTTTAACATAATAGTGTAATAGAGTGTAGCAAATGTCGCTTTTTCGCAAACCAAAGAAAATACAGCGACGCGTATTCTCAAGTAATGCAGACGAGGACGATGATGCGTCGGCTATGGACATTGATGGGGGTATGGAAACGCCCCCACCGCCTCCGCCTATAATTTCCGCATCGGGAAAGCGTGATAAAGATGCAAAAGCCAAAAAAACAATTCGACCACCCGATGAAAGTGGAGCAACAACTGGTGCAACCACTGTCCAACACAAGCCTAAGGCACTTCTTAGTTTTGCTGACGATGGTGAGTGAATGATCTTATTTGAATGACAATGTAAAGCGTTTGATATTAATCTCTATTCATGCAGAGGACGATGGGGAAGTGTTTCAAGTGCGCAAATCCTCGCACAGCAAGAAAGTCATGCGAATGTTAGACAAGGAGCGACGCAAGAAGAAGCGCGAGGAACGTGCGGAACACACGGGACTGAGCGGACACCCGGGTTACGAGAATGGTAGTACTATCCAGCATTTAGAGTCGTCCAGTGCCACTGCTTCGGGTGCTGGTCCAGCCAATCTGTCTAGTAGAGTACAGAGTAAAAGTAAAAAGTGTGATAATGATATGATCCAAACCGAAATACGCACAGACGACTTTGTGGTAAGGTTATTATTATTCAATTTTCCTACAAAAAACAACAATTTTTTACGATTTACGTACCAATCAAATATATAAAAATAATATGGAGCAGTTTAATTGACAATAGGAAAAACAAACCAAAAAATAAGCTATACATATAATCTTGGATATATCTTTGGCTTGATTGTTTAAATGCTTACTTTCAAATCTGCAGATTGGCAACATTAATACAAAATTGCTCCAGAAACAATGCTACAGCCATAAGATAGATCCTCGTCAGAATCTAAATATTTATTACAAATAAGTTGAAGCTTATTTAAGATCTATATTGCACATTCAACCTTTGTTTTCAATTAACCATTCCCTCGCACTTACTAATGCATGTTTCCTTTCTAAAGCTGGTACGCACTTCGAGACCAACACGAGCAATACAAATGTCTTCTTTAAATTCAGAGACACTTTTTTAGCTCCCATTAATTTTGAAATATTTGATCAAAAAAAATATATATATATTATATAATATATAGATGGAAAATGAATCGTACATATGTATATGAGACTCAGTTTGGTTGTCTCGATGTGTATACAATATATATTGTAAAGCTCTTAATTTTCCTGTAAATGCATTCAATAATGTTTGCTTCACTCTTGCTCCCAAAACCAGCTTGTTGTCAAGAAGTCAGAAACTCCTGATGTTCTTTTAAATGGACGTGCCGCGCTGTGCGCTGGTCGCGACGATATGAGCGACGAGGAACAGACGGATGATAGAGATCATGATAAGGCGCGGCATCGCTTCTCAAAACCAGAGCACTTGAAGCAAATGCTGGAAAGCGGTTCCATACCGGATGCTGCCATGATCCATGCGGCACGAAAACGCAGACAGCGAGCTAGGGAGCAGGGTAATGGCGTAAAATGACTTACTGTCTGTAGAGCATTAATGAAAACATTTTTGTAGGTGCTGGTGACTACATACCCATTGAGGAGCCCAAGGAGGCGCCTAAGCTTAGCACGCGATTGCCACGTGAAGATGTCGAAGGCGATCAGTCGGACGATGAAGAGCGCATGGATATGAATGACATAACGGGTCGGAAGGAGCGTGAAGAGCGTCGTGAACAGTTTTATGCCGTTGAGAATGATTGTATGTAGTAGTCTGATAGCTAGTACAATGAGTCCAAGACCAGACGGCAACAGCACGTCATTTCTGTAGTAATTCGTTCGTTCTTTCATACAATTTATTAAATCTTTGTTCGATTCTCACTTTAGTAACCGAGGAAGATTCCGATCGCGAAATGCACGAATGGGAGAATCAGCAGATACGCAAAGGTGTCACTGGCGCCCAACTCGTGCACGCTCAGCATGAAACCGTGCTTTCACGTTTCATGATCAAGCCATCAGCGCCCAGTGGCGATGATCCCTTGGAACTGGAGCATATAGCGCAACAGGTGCCGCCATCAACGGCAACATTGTTGGAGCAGGCATATGCAAAGACCAGCATTGACAGAAAAAGTGCCATGGCATCGGTAATGCGTTCCAGCGTAGCCAAGCCCAAGAGGGAAAAGGCAAAGGCGACGGCTTTGCGGACACCACAGGAAATGCGCACAGCAATTTTAACGCGTCTGACAGAACTACAGGAGCGAAATGAGGATCACAGTGCCAGCATTGCGCGCATTGCAGCCGAATTAAAATCTTTGAAACTACAACAGCTTGAGTGTCACCAGAATGCGCCTACGGCGGCCGCTAAATACAAGTTCTATCAAGAGATTAAATGTTATGTTAACGATTTGGTCGACTGTCTGGCCGCCAAGTTGCCGCTCATAAATGATCTGGAGAAACGTGCCCTGCAGCTGTATGGCAAGAATCAACGTTATCTAGTCAATCGGCGGCGGCAAGACGTGCGCGATCAAGCCAAGGAGATGGCTGAGGCATCAAGTAAGCCGGCTAAAATTAATTTATTTATTATTTTCGTCTCAAGTTCGATTTCAACTTGCAGAACCACTATCAGCTGCTGCACGTCAAACACCGGAACACGAGGAGCAAGTGCGTCGTGCGGCCGAGCGAGAAGGCCGTCGCACGCGACGTCGCTGTGAGCGTGAGCGCAACTATTTGTTAGCCTCCCATCTGGATGGCATGTCCAGCGACGATGAGATTGCTGATCAACAGCAGGAACAGTGCCAAGCCGCAAAGGAACTTATCGAATCGCAAGCAGCAGATGTCTTCGATGACGTCACTGACGATTTCTGTAAAATCGATCTGATACTTGTTAAGTTTTATGCTTGGCGTAAAACGGATATGAGTTCGTATCAGGATGCGTTTTTTCCCCTTTGCCTACCTAAATTATTAGCGCCATTGGTGCGTCATGAGTTGCTACTTTGGTCGCCACTGCTAGAGGAGTACACAGACATTGAAACAATGAATTGGTATCAGGCGTGCATGCTTTACGCCTGCCAGTCAGATGAAACGGTTGAGCGTCTAAAGCAGGATCCCGATGTAAATCTGGTGCCCTCGCTGATAGAAAAGATTGTGCTACCCAAAGTGAACTGTAAGTGCTGTCTCATACACACACGGATAATAGATTAGGTTAATTAAGTTAATTGGATATTGTTTGTATTTAGCCCTGGTTGCGGAGTGCTGGGATCCATTGTCAACGACACAAACGCTACGGCTAGTAGGCTTTATCAACCGCCTGGGTCGTGAATTCCCGCTCAGCAGCAGCAACAAGCAACTGAAAAAGCTTTTTGAGTCAATTTTGGAACGAATGCGCCTCGCGCTGGAAAACGACGTATTTATACCCATCTTTCCCAAGCAGTAAGTGCAAGTCTTTAAGGCGAAGAGGTTTAAATAAAATAAATTTTAATCCGTTTTCAATTAAAGGGTGCAGGAGGCCAAAGGCTCGTTCTTTCAGCGTCAGTTTTGTAGTGGTCTAAAACTGTTTCGCAACTTTCTAAGCTGGCAGGGTATTCTGGCCGATAAGCCGTTACGGGAGCTAGCCATAGGAGCTCTGCTAAATCGCTATCTTCTTATGGCTATGCGTGTATGCACTCCAAATGATGCAATTAGCAAGGTCTATATTATTGTGAATACTCTGCCAACAGTTTGGTTGCTGACCAACAGCGATACGTTGAAGAATCTGGAGTTATTCATAAGCTATATACGACAAACGCTGGATAATTGCGATGCTAATAATCCACTACTTATGTATGTATCTAAAGAGGAATTGACATTTCTGATAATAGAAAAATTCAATTTAACATGTATATATCTATTTTATTCGATAGGCAATCCTGCGACAAGGCGAAGCAGATACTACAAAGACTACATAGCTTATAAAGTGCATACATTACATAAATTTATACCAATCACACTTATCGCGATTTAAACTTAGCTCAATGATAGATTTTTGCGTCTGAATTGTCAACCACAATTAAATACTATTGATATTTCCTATCTTAGAAAGTCTAACAATAACTAAATCCCCCGGTTCTCCTATAAAACTGCTCAAAATTGTCGGCAACTATTCAAGAATCTATCTACAAATAATGCATAAACAATGATGTACATACTTTTATAACCATATGTTTATTTAAATATTTGAATCGCTTATTTTGTTGGTTAGTCAAAACCCTCGACAACCAAATTTCAATAAGAAAAGAGTCTGTAGTATATAAGCTAATTCGGGACAAAGCCTCTTGTTTTTTGATTGTCTTACGTAGATTAGTACTACTTTGAGCAACCTAAAAAAAGTGATACAAATTCAGACACTCTTAACTTTATTGATTGTATTTAGGAGACTTGCGCGCATAGCAAAAATAAAACAATTTTTAAATTATTTACACAATACTTAACAATTCCAAAACACATATTTCTTTTAGAGCAGACCATAACCAATTATATTGAAAATGAATTTATACTTTAATCTGGACTGTTTTTTTTTTTTGGAAGTCCGAAAGTTTTAGATTGTATTTTAATCAGCCTTAGAGACGGATGCACGGGAATAGTTCTGGGCGAGATCCACAACCTCCGCTTGCAGCGACTGCAATTGTTCGTTAATAGACTTGCTTTCGGCACTGTCAGGCGTTGCTTGTTGCAGCATTTGCAGGACGAGATCTGCAAGAAGTTGGCATGTTAATTTCGAACAGATTAACTTAATACTATCATACCATGATAACGTAACAACAGGGCATTTTGCGGCTCATTGAGAGAAGCACGAATGTGTTGCAGGATGGCCGAAACAAATTTGCCGGACGCATGCAAAATGCATCCAGTGATTGTGGTGAAGAGTATCAGCGCAGCCAGATGAAGTAAAAGTGCGGGCTCATGACACTCCAGTAACTGTTGCAGTAACTTCTCTTTGTGACCAATAATCAGTGCGCGATCTTTTTTCTTATCAGCCTTTTTTATAATCATACTACACGCTTTCAGAACCGATTCCGTGGCCAGCTCAAAATCTTCAATGCTTCTGTTTAAGGCTTTGTTTTGTTCCAGTAAAGCGTTGCGGTACTGTGCATCTAGTCAGGAATAAGCCAGAAAATGAGTGCAAATGGCACGACTGAATGTTTGTTTTTTAATTTACCAAGCTCTTGTATGAGTTTAATGCGTTGATCAACGTTCAGGTTTGTGGACTTGACCGATAGACTGCATTCGGCGGCCACATAAAGCGTCAGTTCATTGCAAATCTCGTTACCCAGTGATTTAAGCAAATATTTTACCAGTTGCGTTTGGGTATCGGCGTGGAACAGCTTTAGGCCCTTTTCGTAGAGACGTATGTCGACAAGCAGCATGTTAACGCGTTCCTGTATGGCAGCATGAGTCTGGCGTCGATTTGTTTGCGGAGTTGCCTCATACAATTCCTGGGCCTTGGATAACGCGACCTGATTTAGCTGGCTATGTATGGAAATACAAAAGGAATGAGCTTAAAATGAGACATGGCGAACTGAAGTTCAATTTACTTTAAATAGAGCGCAGCAATTGGCTTGGCTAAGTGCTCTAGACCCTCTTCCTCCAGTGTGATCTTGATTAGATTTATGATATCCGAACTTTTGACCAGTTCAAGCGCTTTTACGGATTTGCGCGTATTCCCAGCTGACTGCTGCACTGTGTCCTCTTCATCCTCGCTGTCATGATTGTGAGCAGCCGCACGGCCACGTTGATGCTTCTTGGTCGATTTGGTTTTAGTTTCGCGTCCTTGCGCACCGCCACCCGCCTTGCCAGAGGCCGCTTTTCTGCGACGCTCATCGCGCTTGTCCGTTTTGCTATCGTCATCTGCATCGTGGGAGGTGCTCAGGTTGTTGCCTTTTTGAGCCAGCGTTTTTTCTACAATATATTGCTGATAGACGCCATTGTCGATGGCTGATTTGGCCAGTGCCAGAGCCATGTCATGACATGGTTGTACCAATTCTGTAAGATATGCCTGGGAAAAGACTGCAACAAGAGTGTAGAGAGCCTCGTTATTTCGAACAGCCTCGTTATCTCAAGTGTAGATCACTTACCGATGCTTTCTAGATATACAAAATGGCTGGGATTGCAGTGCTTTTGGGCTATGACTGCGTCGAAAGCCTCGGCAATGTCTTCCTCCGACAAATTAGATGGCAATATGGTGGATAAATCTAGATAATGCTTGGTGGCACTGCACTCATTAAGGGCGGACACCACGGTCAACTCAATAAGACGTGCGCCCAGCGCAACACGCTTAAGGAACAGGAACTGTTCGTTCGGGAATTGATTGCGTATATAGGTCTTGGCATCGGAAATGCCCAGTTTGTTGATAGCCTCGTACTCCAGGAAGCTGTTTTGCTTGTAAAATGAATTGACCCAGTCAGCCTGTGTCTTGGCATAAATGTGCGGCACATACTGAGCATTGGCCTGTTTAGAGGTCACTTGTCCGGCTGGCGAGATTTCATCGAGCAGCGAATGAAAGATCTTCTCCTGCACATTGATCTGCTGCAGAATAACAGCCACATTGGTGGGCTTGGTGATGGCTGCCAGAGCGCCACGTATTTTCGCCTTGCAACGTTGTATGTATGCTTGGGTAAAAAACACGCGAGGATTGCTGGCATCCTGACGACCCTTAATGATCTTGCCCAAATGCTTTTCCACCACATTCTGCTGCAGAAAGTCCGAAGGCAGATCAAACTGTGACGTTAAATCCGATATAGAAATTTCACCATGTTGCGCCAACTTCTCGTTGATCTCCTGCGCAATATGCGTAATATAGTCCTCATCGATAAGCTGGCCAAGCAAAAGGTGTATATGTGGATTCTCGGCCGCTATACGTTCAGCCAGCGTAACAATTCGCGACAGATCAACATTTAGAGTCTTGCTGACCTCTACAAGATTGGCGCGACCACCGTTTGCATACAATTCATCTTGTATTTCGCGTTCCAAATGGTCGGGGGTGATGTATTCCTTGCCATCATTCGTAAAAACGACATCTAGCAGTTGCTTCTCCAGCAGCAAAGTTACTATTTCAATGCAATTCCGTTCCGAAAGCCTGGCCAGAGTTAATAGTTTATAAGGTGACAGCTGTTAATTAGTTACTTGACTGTTTCTTACTTTTGTAGCGTGGAAGTCAGCTGCGCCTTTTGAAAGTCAGCTGCCAAGCGTTTTATTTCGTCCCAGTCGCTGCTCATTTTTATTCAATAGTTATTTCTAATAATAAATTTGCCTTCAATAAAATTGGGCTACAATCAGAAATGTGACGCGTCAACAAAAGTTGACGTTATCGATAGCTTATCGATAATTTGCAATCAATCAGCTGCTTTAGTTTGATAACATTTTGGTATTTTACTCACTGCCGACATACGTTCACACTTTGTTCTTAAATTATTATGTTTAAATCAAATATTTAGATCGAACTGCCGACTTTGAAATTTGTTAATTGATATGTATGTCTGTATAAAGCAAGCCATGTATTACAAACACTAACCGTGCCAAGATGTCGATATCAAAATTATTCGTGAAAGTTTTCAATGAGGACATTTTTGAGCACCTGGATCAGGAAAACTACAATTCTGACTTGGAAGATGATTTGGAGGGAGCAAATTGCTCTACTGTGCCGGATCCGCGAACCCCGAAGCTCGATGAGCTTTCCGTGACAAAGTGCGTTGCATCATTTGTCAGACATGAGGATAGGAATCTATCTTATATTCTAAATCTTTTGTAGGCAAATGACCATTGTGAGGAACTGGTTGGATGACAAGTTTCAGCAGATACAAACTGACAGCAATGAGGAGATACGTAAACTCTATATGGAGACAGAGTCGCGCATCGGTCCCGAATTAGCTATTTTCGATGTGGACTACACGACAACTGTGCGTGTGTCTACCGATAGGCTGGCCTTGCGTTCCCAGGGAAGTTTCAACACGGTGCGCGCAAATTGTTGCGTTTATGGCGGTCGTTGGATGTATGAGGTAATCATCGTTGTTACGGTCAGTGGCTGGGGTAAGGGTATGGTCTATGGCTATGGATTGGTGGTTGCTTAGCCAACGGTCAATGACATTGAAGTTTCTAAACAGATTTTGGAGCATGGGGTGCACGTGCGCGTTATCGACATATTCTAATTAAGTCTTGTTTGCTTTACTAGATCCAATTGCATACGAAAGGCGTCATGCAAATGGGCTGGGCGGCGGGCACTTGTGGATTTAATGAAAATAGCGGTGTGGGCGACACAAAATTCAGCTATGGCTACGATGGCAGCAAGCAACAGGTCTGGCACATCTCAACCAGAAAGTAAGTTGGAGTCCTTGAAATCGAACTCTTGATTCTAATGCTAAAATTTCAACAGATACGGCGAGAAGTGGCAAATTGGTGATATCATAGGTGTCACAATTGATATCGATCGCGAGATTATTGAATACTATCGTAATGGGCGATCAATGGGTGTGGCCTTTGACAAGATTCAGAGAGGGCCGGGCATTACATTTTTCCCTGCCATCTCTTTGGGCTATACACAGGGCGTACAGGCAAACTTTGGCAATCGACCGTTTGTATATCCAGTGGCCGGATTTCAACCTCTGATGGCACGCCCCATATTGAAGCTGCGTCGCGCCAATTTAATTATGGACTATCTCATCAATTTGGCTGGCATCTTTTCTCACTATAACGCACAGTCACGCACAAGCCAAAAAACTGGCGAAATACGAGTGTCCACCAAGAAGACGGTCTACTGTATATTTGCAACGTTGCTCATTGAGCGCTTCACGAATGAGATATTTGATCCTTATATCATTGAGGATGTGCTACTGAAGCGTATCACAAATATGACTGCACTGCCGGCTGAAAAAGAAAATCCACATAGCGTGCTCATGGGCCTCTTGTCCTTGTTCTGGAACTTTATGGAGGCCGATGAAGTTAAGTTTGTGCTGCGCAAACTGGTCAATGCCCTCTTGGCTATCTATACGCACACCGTGCAGGGCATGGACTATGAGAAGCATAGACAGGCGCTAAGCGTTCTCCACTGTATCTGCTTGCATGAGCAAACACGCAAGTATCTGCTAGAGGGCAAGCTCTTCAAGAAACACTGGTAAGCTGAAAAGTATGGTTTGTGGATTTGCACATGACATGCGTTATTTTGTTGCTTTCCAGCTTGGCCTTCTTTTTGTACGTACATCCGCTGGAGTTTTATATAATGGAGGAAATACTGCCCGATTATATGGCCTGGACAGAGGGCATTGATGGACCCAAGGACAAATATTTAAATGCTGTGGAAAAGGTGCGCAAGATCACTGAAGCTTTGTACGCAGCCCAAAAGGACTTGCTAAAAACGCTGATGATCAACACAGATGGCAACGGAGAATCTCCTTCAAGTCGCAAACTTTTTCTTAACAAAATGCGGCGTTATGTCATCGATTTAAGCATGGAGCAGCGCGTTAGTTATTGCTATTAGCATCCAGACCATTTCCACTTAAACAATTCTTTTTTATTTTGCAGCCCTTTCATGCCTTTTTCTTTATGCAGTCTAGCATACAGCATCCGCTGGATCCGCCAGTGGCTCTTGCCTTTGTCTGTATACTAGTCGATCAAGTGCGATCACTGTTTAAGGATGAGCTGCCCACTCACCTTATGGAAGTGAATGCCGATTACTTTGTGGATGGGACATTCGATTATATGCATTTTGATCGCGTTGGCGGAGTTTTGTCGCATCTTCGTAAGGTGCATAGGGGAGACATCGATTCCTATTTGGGCACAGAACGTACCCAGCAAATCTATGACGAGGATCGCAATTCTGTACGGGTCAACGAAGTGGGTGCGTATAGCGAGTGCTGCTAATTAGTTTGCGCAACTTTTAAGATACAACGTTTTCAGATACCACACTTTACCTGCTAGGGGAAAATATTAATAATGTGGCGGTGATTGGTCACACGCAAGGCACTAACAACTCAACATTCACCCACTTTCTTAATCCGCGCATAGCGCAAAATACAGACACAGCCCCAGGCAGCTTATCCTCAGAGGCTAGCGTATGCGAGCTGTTGGATATTTGCGTGCTCTTTTACTACTCAGCCGGGCACAAATATATAGTCAAGATAGCTGGGGTGCGTGATGAGATTGCTACGCTGAATGAGGTGCTAAAAGAGACAAAATACTATCGTGAGGATATCGAACGCAAACTGATGGCCCTGGAACAGCATGCGAATGTCTGTATGAATGACAATCATCATCATATAATGTCCGAATTGCGCTCCAAGTTCAGTCAGCGACAAAATGTGTTTGCAGTGAGTGATCTTCTCAGACTTTCCCATTTAATTCACTTACTTATTATTTTTTTTTACCGTCCACAGACACGTTCAATATCGCTGGCAAGGAAACAAGTTTGGCTGCGCGCTGTAGCACTGAACAGCCAACGGCGCTCGTTGTTGATATGGCTTATGGAGCGCATCGTGCGCACATTAACGGTGAGCAAGGATTTCAATTTTTACAAAAGTTGTTGCTTCATATAAGTATCCCTTGGTTATAGAGCGCATCGAGCATGGGTCCACTCTTTGCATTTGTACCCGAGGTTTACATAAATACGTTGCCCATTTTGCTGGACACTGTCATGGACTTTAGTCATCATGATATGCGCGCTCAGTTTGAAGTGGCGGATGCCGAGTGCGCTGTCAATGCGGCGGCAGAGTTTTTGGGCTTGCATTCGGCAGACTCGCGTATTGTGCTTGCCTCCTGCAAAGATTCGTTGTTACAGGCATTGGGCACACTCACGTGCCACAAGCCGGGCGTGCGTGCGCTAGAACGTAGCTCAAAGCGCTCTCAGGCAGCTTTAGTGCGTGCTCTGCTGCGACCTTACGAGAATCGCGCTTGGGGTCAAAGCAATTGGCTGTTGTTGCGCTTTTGGCTGGGCGAGGGCTATGCCTTTAAGGATTCGCGCCAGCCCAGTGTGTGGCAAGGTGGCTCACAGCCATTGCAACAGGGACTGTGCCGCAGTCGCTCGAAAAACGAATCGCACACCGGTCTGTTACACAATGTGGCGCCGGCAAATCCGTCCAAACACTTTCAGCGCTTAATTGGTTCTAAGATGTTTGAGGACGAACCGTTTGCCACCACTTTTCTTAACTCTGTGCTGAGTCAGCTAAATTGGGCCTTCTCAGAGTTCATACTGCTGCTTCAAGAGGTGAGCAACTGCTTTTGGCTTATGTTCGATTTTCAATGATCTCTCGAATACTTTTTATAGATACAAAACACAGCGCAGCGTCAGGAGAACACGCTTTTTGAGCCAAAGCAACTGAAGATCTGCTCAATGTGCTTTGAGCTAACAGTATCGCTGATGCGTTGTCTGGAAATGATCATAACTGTGGTACCGGACGTTGTGACCGATGAATCGCGTCCAAATAGTGACTTGCTATTGAATCGCATATGCCAGCTGATCAGTCAGGTGCTATCACGCGTTACAGTGCCGCCAGGCTGCTTCCAGTTTGTGGTGGATATGTGCTCTGCTGATCTGAATGCCGTCACACACTTTCCCATCATTAGTGCAGCATTGGGCATATTGTTGGCCTTGCTGCGCACCGAATTGGACAACGATGTGACGCCGCAGAAGGTGACACGCATATCGCGCGCCTTTCTCACCGATCCCAGTTTTCAGTTTGCGACACTAGAGTTCGCGCTAGGCGAGATACGCACTCCGCTGCTTGAGCAGAAGGAGATACCTCGTGGCAATTTCGATCCCTCGTCGCGACCACATATTGATCCGCTGACTAATGATGTGCGTCTGCCACAACTCAATAACTCCAAGCGCATACGCGCAGATCCACCGATTATTAAGTTTGCGCTTTCTGATTGTGAGTTGTTTAACATTCCATAAAATGTTCTTTACTTAGCCTATTATCTTTCACAGATCCGACCCATGTGTCCCATGAAGAAATCGAAGATGTGCGCCATCTTATTGAGAGTCTGCGCATCAAACAGACTCTGCTCTCAGATATTACGCTACCCTCTGAGGACTCGTTGTGTCCCATTTGCTGTGCCAAGCCGATCACTGCCGTTTTTACGCCCTGCAAACATCAATCTTGCAGCGATTGCATTATGCAGCATATGATGAACTCCAAGGTCTGCTTTTACTGCAAGACCACCATACAGACAATCGAAACGCTGGATGGCACTCTCATCTACTCCAATGATGAATCGGTGAACACTGTTACAGAAACTGCTTGAACAACCCCACCGCAAAAACCAACAAACCCAACAAAAATCTAGTCACCTTAAAACAAAAAATTGCTACGCTTAACATGTGGTTATTTACACATAAGTACATACATACTATATACATAGATATATATATTTTTAACTTCAGTTTTTTTCATTTTGTATTTTATATGCTTGCAATTATTTCAGATGTGATATGCTATAGTGCAATTTAAACACAGCTCTATGAACAGAAAACATACCAACAAAATTAAATAGTTAGCACATTAATATTAATATTGTTTGTCATTTTATGATCTCTGGTTAATGCAACTATTTCCATATTTATTTAAGAGCACACAAACTCCAAGCAAGTGCATTTATATTTATGTTTAAGCTGAAAAACTATTTCCAAAATAGTTTGCATTTAAAATTGATAACAATTAGTGGAACGTCTATTTAAGTACGATAATTTATGTCAACATTATAAGATATTACAACTATTTAATTTCATTTTGTTAAGGAGCTGGTGGTTTGGCTAAAGTATACAAATCAAACTTTATTTGTGAACCAATTCCTAAGTTATAGAATTTTAAAACCTGCCTAACAATTAAAATTAAGTAACGGAACCAATTTTAGACAATTCCCTAAACATTTTAGCGTCTCGCATTTGTTCCGTTTCAACTCTCGTGTTATATATTTAATGAAAATAACAATCTATGGCTGGCTGCGAGGTTTTGAACGTCAGCCAAATACAATTATTGTATTTCGGAAAATACAAATATAAACTTTTAATCAATTTTAATCACCGCACTTGTTCCGACTTTTCATTTCATTTTCAATTTAGAAAAATAAACAAGCATTTTGATAGTACGCTGATTATATAATACAGTTAAGTCCATATAGATAAAGGTATACAGTTTATTTGGACACATTTATGTCTACATGTGTGCCTCAGGTGGTGCCAAGATGGGTTAAGCCTTAACTTAAATTACAAATGTTCGTTTTGGTATTGTCATTTTCGAGAGGTCCAGAAATTTGTAGCTTGTGTAGAATATTTATCAAGGTACATTTATAAGCAATATATGTAGAAATATAACTATTCGATTTTAACAGTTTAAACAGTGTTTTTTTTTTTTTGTTTTCTTCTAATAGACATGGACAATAAAGCCTTTCAACTAACTATAGTTATATATATGTATATAAATAGTACCTGTAGATACACATGTAACATATATATATATAGTGACATATCCATAGTCGCACCCACCCTTTAACATAACTTAGCACATAAGCATAAGCACAATTATAAACATTTCTAATATTGTAAACAAAGAGCCTGGTGATAACATCGACATTGGTCAAGATCAAACTGTCCCCCTTTGGTAGACATAAACAATTCACCCTAAATATCACGCCACTGTCAATGTTCCCATCAGAGTACTATCCCACGCATAATTGCTGACGCAGCTCAAACTTCACTCAATTTTGACTCAAACTCTCTCAAAGCGAAGTTTGCTAAGCGACCGCAACAGTTAGATAAATCAGTTCATATTCGGGAAGCAAATCTGAATGTACTCAACAAAAGTAGCCGTTAAGTGAAAATAATAAATTGAAATATATTTTTTTATAGTAACCTAACGTGCAAAACTTAATTGGCGCAGCCGGTAGGATACGTCGGGAAAAATTAAAGATCGCTAAAGGATAATTAATTCCCAGATCTAACGCACAATCGCGACCGAAAGTGTTGTCGGAGTGTAATAAAAATTTTCTCGAATACGTATCCGCACAAGAACCTTCGGGTCATTAGTAGCTTAATAATATTGACCCTTTGGGCAATAAAGCTACTACAGTTAATAACGACTGGCTTTGCATATCGTTTGATCCCTGCAATACGTTATTACTGAGTCTTTTTAAGACACACACACAAAAAAAAAAAAACATTTAACCAATAATCCATCACAAACTTTAACCTAAAATAAAAGTGCAAAATCAAAGAACAATAAAGTTCAAACCTACAAACTCAAAACTATTCAAAAAAAAGTGTATTACACCAAGAAGACAACAGTAACCATTTACAAATCACAGAAAGACCACTTAATTATTATAATCGACAAATAGAATTTGAAAAAGGAACCGAGAACGAAACAAAAGTTACGAATTACTTTCACAAAACCAACATAAAAATTACGTACAAAGACATGACTAATACGCATGCCAAAGAATTAATAACAGAATACTTATGCACAAAGAAAAGTGTGCTATACTTCCACAACGAAGCAGATTTTCCAATTTTTCAAGAAGCCTACTTAGAAATAATAAGTCCAAATAATTCAACAAAGGCAATGAAAACTAGTACAAAATTAATAGACCTTCAAACATACGCAGAATTCAAAGAATTAATATTAAAAAAGCACAAAGAATTATTACATCCAGGAATTGAAAAAACTATTAATTGGTTCAAAGCAACCCACTATTTCCCAGATTATCAAAATTTAATTCAAAATCTAATAAATGAATGTGAGATTTGCAACATCGCAAAAACAGAACACAGAGATACAAAATTAACTTTCGAAATAACTCCGGAAATCGCTAATATCCGAGAAAAATATGTAATGGATTTTTACATAGTAGGAGATAAACAATTTTTATCTTGCATTGATATCTATTCAAAATTTGCATCATTAATAGAAATAAAAAGTAGAGACTGGCTAGAAACCAAACGAGCTATATTACAAGTGTTCAACCAAATGGGTAAACCCATCGAAATAAAGGCAGACAAAGACTCAGCTTTTATGTGCACAGCTTTACAATTATGGCTAAAATCAGAAGCAGTAAATATTAATATAACCACTAGTAAAAATGGTATATCCGACGTAGAACGATTTCATAAGACAGTTAACGAAAAACTAAGAATCATTAACAGCGACTCAGACGTCGAAAATAAACTTACAAAATTTGAAACTATACTCTACACGTACAATCATAAAACAAAGCACAAAACGACTAACAGAACACCAGCGGACATATTCATATATGCAGGTACACCAGAGTATGACACTCAAGCTAATAAAGAAAAACTAATAAATAATCTCAACAAAAAACGAACAAATTATGAAATTGACACTAGATACAAACACTCACCGTTAGTTAAATCAAAGACGACAACCCCGTTCAAGAAAACAGGAGAACTAAGACAAATCGACGACAAACATTTTGAGGAAACTAACAGAGGCAGGAAAATAACACATTACAAAACCAAATTCAAAAAGAAAAAGAAGACTAATCAAAGCAAATATAACAATTACAGGTCAACAACAGACAGCGATCAAAACATACAAGCACCAGCTTAAATTAATTATTATAATATTACTATCAATAACTGTAAACTATATAAATGCACAGAGTATTGAAATTAATCCTATCAAAGCCCATAACGGATATCTCATATTTAAAACAGGAACCATAGACATTCCGACAGATTACGAATTCCACTGTTTAACGGTTAATATAACAAAAACCGAAGAAACTTTTAACAATTTAATTGAACAAAGTAAAGAATTCAATAACCTTATACAAATCGAATACCTAGTAGAAAAATTAAACAGAGAAATAAACGGCTTAAAAATAGCCAAACGCAGCAAAAGAGGTTTAGTTAACATAGTAGGAACAGCATATAAATACTTATTTGGAACATTAGATCAAGAAGACAAAGCAGAAATTGAACAAAAAATAAGCAACTTAGCAGAAAACAGCGTCCAGGTTAACGAATTAAATTATATAATAGAAGCTATAAACAAAGGAATAGAAATCATGAACGAACTAGATCAAGAGAAACAAAAAGGAAAGAAATTAGATATCCTTATATTTAACTTACAACACTTTACAGAATATATAGAAGACATTGAGATGGGAATGCAGCTCACAAGATTAGGAATTTTTAACCCAAAATTACTAAAACATGACTATTTGTTGCATGTTAATTCTGAGAAATTGTTGAATACAAAAACTTCCACTTGGTTTAAATCAGATACAAACGAAATACTGATAATATCCCATATTCCTCGAGAAATAATAAAAAGCCCGGTATTCGAAATAATTCCATACCCGGATGAAAATAATAATATTTTGACAGAAATAGCTCATGAAAAATATTTTACCCAAGATAAAAAAGTTTATAGCAGAGAAACAAAAAAATTAATTAATAATGAATGTTTAACAGGAATTTTAAACCAAATAACATCAGAATGTAGTTATACTAAAATTTTGCAAAATTTTCAAATCAACTACATAGAACCAAATATAATTTTAACTTGGAATTTACCAAAAACTATATTAAACCATAATTGTATAAATAACGAAATAACAATAGAAGGAAACAATATAATAAAAATCTTTAATTGTTCATTGCAAATTAATGAAATTTCAATTTCAAACAATATGTTAGATTATACTCAAAGCATTTACGTAAGCAATGATGTTATAAAATTAGAACCACTTTCGTTTGTACAAACGAAACAAATTATAAATGCACATACAAAATTTAACAATGTATTCCAGATAATTACAATAACCATATTTGTAATCATATTAATAAGTTTAACACTGTATTTGACATATAAGTTCAAAAGCATACCTAAGAAATTAATTATAAAATATAAAAAACCCAAAGTAGAAGAAACACCTACAATAATAGGAGATATACCAATTGTAAAAGAAGAAAATGTTACACTATATCCAAACTTAAACACCTGAGGACAGGCACTTTTCTAATGGTTGGGGGAGTGACATATCCATAGTCGCACCCACCCTTTAACATAACTTAGCACATAAGCATAAGCACAATTATAAACATTTCTAATATTGTAAACAAAGAGCCTGGTGATAACATCGACATTGGTCAAGATCAAACTGTCCCCCTTTGGTAGACATAAACAATTCACCCTAAATATCACGCCACTGTCAATGTTCCCATCAGAGTACTATCCCACGCATAATTGCTGACGCAGCTCAAACTTCACTCAATTTTGACTCAAACTCTCTCAAAGCGAAGTTTGCTAAGCGACCGCAACAGTTAGATAAATCAGTTCATATTCGGGAAGCAAATCTGAATGTACTCAACAAAAGTAGCCGTTAAGTGAAAATAATAAATTGAAATATATTTTTTTATAGTAACCTAACGTGCAAAACTTAATTATATATATATGTATGAGAATCAACATCTAACTACAATTTAAGATCTAATAATTGCTGACTATACTCCAAGAGAAGCGCGTGAGAACATTGAGATATAGACGATATGACTCAAGGGGCATGCTAAGATTTCGAATGCCAGTTCCAATTGCTATCCCAGCTCATTTATAGTACGGTACAGGCATTCGAGTGCATGCGATGCGAGTGTCGTCCATTGCCGTGACTAAAGCCGCTGCAGCACTGATGTGAGATGGGGCCGGAGCTGCGGGCATGCTGGAAGCTCTGGCTGTTGCTCATCTTGGGCTCGTGCAGCGGATGATGACAGCTGGGCGCATGGCTGTGGCTGCAGAAAATATTCAATTAAATTTGTCCCAGCTACTTGACACAATCTCTTACCCATGGTTACAAATGCTCGAATCGGATATGGAGCTGGGCATGGCACGACTCAAGATCTGAGGCGGCGGTGGTGGTGGCAGAAATAATGGACAGCCAGCAGCTCCCAGATCATCGCCACCACCATCGTGGCCAAAAATGCCGAGGCGCATATTGGCCGCCTTTGCCGCCGATTGAGATTCAACTTCATGCGCTTCTTCAATCATCTTGTCCAGTTTCTCCATGGCCTTTGTTTGCTTGGCGGCCAGAAAAGCCTTGCGCGCCGCCTTGGACATAGAGTGGGGTCTACAATGAATAAGATTAGGCTTCGAAGCCTTAGTTTTGGGATAGGGATAAGTGCCCACCTGGCCGGCGCGGAATTGGAACGATGCGGTGGTGGTGAATGCAGAGAAACGGATGATATGGAATCCTTCGATACAGGTCGGATGTTGCTGCTGCTTGCTGGCACCACAGCTGGTGCTGTGCCGACCAAAGTCGGCGGCGGCTTGCCACGGTGCATGGGGCAAACTTCAAGAGTTGGTGCAGCAGCAGCAGCTGCAGCTGCAGCAGCAGTTGGAGTTACACAGTTCTCCTTGGATGTGGTAGCGATTAATGCAACTGGCGCTGTCGGCGGTGTCTTAACCGCCTCCCGGGTAGTGCTGGTGGAAAATGTGATTTTTCTAATTAGAATGGAGGTGCTGCCGTGGAATATGTTGTTGAGCTCATACATACTTTAACTTCATGCTTCTCTCCCGCTCCAACGAGGCATTAGATGTGGATGGTTTCATGCTGGCGCTGCTGCAGCTTGCCGACTCTCTAGGCGGTGCGGTCGAAGGGGGCGTCAGCTGATCCATGGCGGCCAGTTCCTCGGGCGTAAACTTGTCGGGATTGCTTGGGCGCGGTTTGTGCGGAGCGCTGCCAATGCGAAATGGTGGCGTTGGGCTAAATCCACATGGCGATTGGCAGCTATTTTTGCCGATGTTGCTGCTGTTGGCCAATGGGCCGCGCGAGATTTGTAAATCCTCCAGAAACTCCTCAGTGTCCAATATAAGCGAGCCGAAGATGTCGCTGGGCGAGCGCATGAAAACGTGACCAGTGGAATTGGAGCGGGATTCGCGCCGCTTATTTTGCTCTGGCAAAAAGCCGGTGCCAGCACTGCTGCGCACTGGCGAGTTGGCAATGCTTCTCCTCGCCACATCCTTGAAGGTTACCGGCGAGTAGAGGCGACTGCTGCGCTCATCGGTTGCTGCCGCTGCTGTGGCTGTTGTGGCTGCTGTTGCTGCAGCTGGCGCATGATGAGCCATTGTAGTGGCAGCAACCAGTGCACCGCTGGCACCCAGCACCACATTTGACATGGCCGCCGGCGGAGGATCGGCTGGCGGCGGCGCTATCGGTGGCTGTGGCTTAGGCGCCGGCAAAATGGCCTTGGGCATGGGTGTAAGCGGCGGTGCTGCGGACATCGGATGCAACTGTAGTCCAGCGGTTAGCTGTAGCGGTAGGCGATTCTCACGCTCCTCCAGCCAGTAGGTCTTCATGGTGCCTTTGCCCTTGACATCGATCTCGCCGCGTTCGAGTATTTTATAGCTCGGTCCAATCAGCACCTTAGTCGACTCCGATATGTGCACCTTCATGGCAATACTGGTGGACTCCATTCTGGAGGCGGTATTAACGCTATCGCCAAACAGACAATAACGTGGCATCTTTAAGCCCACAATACCGGCCACGACGGCGCCCGAGTGTACACCCACACCTGCTCCAAGTATAAGAGGGATGTGAGGAATAAGGGGAAAATATATGGAATCAATTTAATGGATACGCTGTCTTACGTATTCTCAAATGCTGTCCCGTGGAGGGATCCTTCAGATCGGTTATGGCGTCGACCATATCCAGGGCCATATCACAGACTCGCTCGGCATGATTCGCATCCTTATCCGGTGCTCCAGCCACCACCATATAGGCATCGCCAATAGTTTCAACCTTGTACACAGAATTGCGCTCTGTGAGTGTATCGAAAATTGAGTACATGGCATTCAGCATCGATACCACTTCCATGGGCGTAATTCGACTGCAAATCTCCGTGAACGTGACGATGTCCGAAAATAATATGGACACACTGTCAAACATCTGTGGGATAGTTGCAGGTCAGTCTCAGTATCAGGTATTAAGATGATTAGATGATTCAGGCACTCACCTCACAAGTATCTATGGGATTCTCGCCGCGTCTCAAACGATCCGCCACCTGTTTGGGTATCATCTGATAGAGAAGCTCATCGGTGCGCCGCATTTCCTCATCCAGTTTGCGCATGGACTCTTCCAGTTTCTTGGACTTCTGTTGCTCCTGATCCAGCGCCAATTTCAGCTCTACGGACTGCTGTGTGCCCGCCAACATGAGATCTCTGCTAAAATCGTGCATGGACAGATCGTTTATGTAGAGACCAGTTGTGATCAGCGAGGTCAGATCGGGCATCACTGGCGTGCCCAGGAACATGATCATGCGCCAGTTTTCCATATAAACCATTTGACCTGTAAACAGGAAAGGAAAAGTATATTTTTTTTTAATAAATATTAAAATTTAAATTTTATCTCGTAAAGTTTATATGTACATATTTTTAAGATCCTGATATAGGGTTTGCTTTTATGTTATTCGTATAACTAATAATATATAAAATTTTATATAAATAAGTATTTTATATACAATAATTAACATGAAATTAAGAAAGAGAAGATTACTTTCATATATACTATGCTTAATTCCTCCGGAATATTTTACACAAAAACGCATATAGACAGAATATGTTTGTTAGAAGAAAATTGAAATTCTTTATAGAAAATAGAACTATATACTTACTATAACTTAAAACTATATATTTTTAGAGGCTGCTTAAGAAGTTGCAACTTTATGTTTTCTTTTATTAATTATATGCAGAATTTTACCTTTTAGTCGGAGAGATTTTTCCGGCTCGCTGCCATCGTCATGCAGCAGCAAGTCCTCGTTCTGTGCATCCAAACGCTCTGTAACCGGATCCACGGTAACCAGCTCGAATATGTTGTTGGTGCGATTAAGTATCTAATGGTTTGAGTTAATTAGAAAATATGCATAAACGCTGGCCCAGGGCACATACGGTTTGAAACTTGAATGCAATTAGCGGGCGCACCAAGTCGAACCAGGCTGTAATCTTCTTGCCTAATAGCTCCGGCAATATGACCATCAGGGAGTTGCCAATGCTGCGCACAACCATGTCAGCGCTGTCAGTACAAAAGGGCGGGGTTCGGGGTAGAAGAGGGGTGGCAGTTGTTACCTAATCTCGCCGGGGATTTGTTATGTGCACAAGCTTACCCAAACACGATGCAAAATGGAAATATCTCAAAGAGGACGTGTGCGCTGATGGGCAAATGCTTCTCCTCGCGCGTCATGGCCAGGGAGGCGAGTGTGAAAGCCCGGTTATCGAATATCAGCTGAAAGGTTACGTGCACTGTATCGAATAGAATCTCCTCACGCACCAGCTCAATGTGCATCTCCTTGTGGTAGAAATAGCGCGCCACTTCCCGGATCTGTCCCATCGTGTAGTACACAAAGCCCCGCCTCTTCGATCGATAGTGCAGCGTGAGGCCCTGTTTGGTTTCGTTTTCGCATATAAAGCTGGGTGCGCGCATGCGCGGATACGAAAACTTAAGGTACTCATGCAGATTGTCCAGGCCATTCAGAAAGTCACGCATGTGCCGTCCCAGCACCGACAGCACGCGATCGTAGCCATATTGACCCACAAAGCCAACAAAGTAAACGCCCAGACGATCCATAAATTCGCGCTCGGAAACGCCAAGCACCTGCAAAACAGAGTATATATATATAAGTCAGTATAAGCTTATATATGGGCCATCTAATTCTCACAGTTTGCGCCTTCTTAGCCAGTTTTTGCAGCAGATTCTCGGGATACACCTGATGCACGCTGAATGATGGCGAATCGATGCCCGCCTGCCGTCTGATGTCCTCCCATTTCTCCTCGCCGTACACGGACTTGATGTACTCGGATAGATTCTCCAACAGCAGCCCATACATCTTGACAAAGAGTCTGTTTAATCTACCTGTTAGGATTTCAGCCGCACTTAGTTGCCGCTTGTTTGGCCCATTGTTGATTTTCACCTGTTGATAAGAGTAGAAAGTATTTGGGAACTTTTTACTTTTTTTGGGGAAAAGTGAAATGTTTTATCATTTTCATAAACTATAATCATATATCATACAAATATATGGGAATATAAAAAAATACTTGAAATCTATTGGATACTTGAAAAAGATACGTAATAAGTAAATACACAATTTCCGAATTTCTTTGCGACTTAAAGATTTATAAAAACTTTGTAATAAGCAGAATTGTGATCTTCCAAATCAAAATTTTCACAATATTTATGTTTGGCTTCTGATGAACCTTTCTCACAATAAGTATACGCCCCGTGATGCTCCGCATGTAAATTGCATTAGAATATGTTGCCAATACCGATTGGCTTTAGATTTCATGGAAAACTGTGCACATTTCGGGTTTATCCCCAGAGGCAAGCGTCCAATGTTGACATTTTGTGCAACGCGCCAGACATTTGGCGCCTCATAATTTTGCCAGCCTCAAGCAAAATTGGTTGAATTATTTTCTTTTTTTTGTTGCCTTTGGGGAAATAAGTCAATAGATTGGCTCGTTTTTTGATGCGCAGTTTTCATCAGTCCATCAGCACTTTTGATTTAAATCAACATTTGGTCGGCCAACTGATAGAAACTTGTGATTATTTGACTAAAACTATTGACATATAATTTTCAATATTACTTCACACAGATACTTTAAAATAAGTCTGCATGCCACAAGCATTCAAAATATTTGTGACTTAGATCTTTGATCTGATGTTAAATATGTTTGGGATATAATTTCTTATTAAGCCTATGCAAACTAGGTTTCTGCTTTAAGTAAATCAAAAAATAAATATGAAATTTATTTTAACATTCGGAATAAAAAATGAAAATAGTAAATAGTAAATAGAAATTGCTTCTATTTTTTTTTGTGTTAAAAGCTAGTTATTAATGAAAAGAGTTTTACGAACAAGTAACGCGCATAATATATGTACTTGAAAGGGCAAATTAATTAAAAGGAAATAAAATTGAATTAGCTCTTAACTCTCTTAACTCTCAGCATCATGCAGTGTGCAGCTGTCCCCCCTGCTACATCTTTGTGTTGAAAAATCAAGTGCAATATTACGCATACGCCATGTAGCATGCGCAAAGGGTTCTAGGTAAATTGACTTGTCTATTATAAATGCATTAAATAATAATGTGGGCATGCATAAAATGAAATGAAGTGCCCGAGTTGATGCTAAATGTAGCCTGAGCGAGTTTGCAGGACGAACCCAACGAGCGAGAATATTTAATTATAACGCATACGCCGTGTACGCCCATACATTTTGTGTTACTTGTCAAAGTGACAAGTTGAGACATGCCGCCAATGCTGGAATGGTTTTATCAGCAAGCCATTTAGGTTAATTTGGGCTTAAGTCAGTCCGACTCCAATGCTTGACTGTGCGCCTTGTATTGCCTACGTAAGTGGCTGTTAATTGACCTAAGTCAATTTATGTGTACATAGCCAACAATTAAGTATAAGTGCGCAGGACAATTGCTATTTATACTGTGGTATGCTTTGGTCGCACATTCGTTGGCAATCTGGGAAATGCCTCGCCTCAAAGCAAGGCTAATTCAATTGCATTCAAAGGCACCTGCCGTTGCAGCTAAATACAGCCGAGTAATTGCCAGATATTCAGACTGCCGTCGCCTTGAGAATCCTCTACTCAAACTCGCATAATAAACAGCGGAGACAGCAGGGCAACAGGGCACCAGGGTGACATTTATTATTACTGTTGCAGTCACATATGTTCGTGTCAATTGGAAGTCATATGCTAACCACGAGCAGCTGTAAACTGAGCTATGCACTTGGGCGGATAGATGAGACTGGTGGCAGCACCTCAAGGCTGCAGTTGCTTACAATCTGCTGTAAATTACGAGCATGCTGCCGGTCCACAAATTACGGACCGTCGAAGTGCATTCTGGCATAACAGATGAGGCTAGCAGGTTGAGTTCAAAATGTCTGGCTGAATGAAGCTTTTAATTCAGGAATAGCGTCAAGTGAATGCTCCAGCGAATTATCTTCAGCACCAATTAACCCATATCTTTCGATACTGTGGTTACCTAAAGCATAAAATATGAATGCTTTTTCCGCTATATGATCCTTAGCTTCTGTGATTGAGCAGCTCTTAGAAGGCGAAAAGTCACATCACAAATCTCTAACAAATAAATGCTGTCGGCTGTACTCGACTGCATAATACTCAAAGCTCGGGAAATTGCGATTATGTAAATTATATTTTTTATAAATTTTTAAAAAAACTTATTTCTACATCTAAGATTGTAGAATATATAGATATATACAAAAAAACATACTTAATCCCTAGGATACAGGTGCTCAAAACTAATATGCTCTTTTCTCTTTTTGCGAACGAGCATCAAAAAGGAATAGAATCCATTACTCTCACTTTGCATGGCTTTATTTACGCTTTATTGCCATTTGGTTTGTCATAAACATATTTCATTGTAAGCTTTATGGTTATCCCACCTTCAAACCTGCCAATTCAGAAATTTATGCTCTGCGGCAACGCATAAAAAATTTCCAATGCCAAATGTAAAGCTTCAAAAAAAATCAAATATATTTGCATTTTGCTCTCGCGTTTTACTTCATTGCATTTTGGAGTCAATTTGTGGGGAATTGTGTTAAAATCTGAAATATCATAAATAATATCAAACTGATTCGCTTTGAACTTTGCAATATTGTTCATTTAATTGCTTTTAAAAGTTGCATTTCATTTAAATTCCCCCAAGATTCCGCATAAACAAAAACACAAACTCTTGACGTCAGTTGTATAAAAAACGCTTTTTTTTAGTATTTTCCTGTTCGTGTTTTTTAAAATGTATTTAGAATAGATTATTTAAAAAGCTGGCCTTAAGGCAGATAAATCTTCATGATATATAGAAAAAAAAGAAATAGAAAAATAAAGACTGCGCAGCTATTTATAAAACACAATAATTTGCAAGCCATACAAAATATCAAATACAAAAAAATGCTTAAAAATACTTATTTAGACATGGTACATACAAAAATTAGACAAAATTGTCAACACAACATTGTGTATCTCATATATAGAAATATAAATTAAACATGAAATAATAACTAACAGAAGAACTTTCATTTTCACGGGCACAGTACGACGAGGGTAGAGGCATGGGGCAGCTCCCTTTCCACCCACCATTTGGCATTGGGCAGCAAAAAAACATTGAACACTAGACGCTCTCAAAAAACTTGTGCCAAAGAGATCAAAACATTGTCCAAAATGCTGTCATCTGTTTCAGTTCTACGGTTTAAATATAATGTGTATTTTTATTACATTTTTGTTGTCGCGGTTTTTATCGGCCAATTACGTTGCGGCATTTGTTCATGAATGGAATACCCATGGGATATACAAGCATTTATATATATATATATATATAGATATACTCATTTATATATATTTCTGTTTAATTTTCTGCGCGTTTAAATTGCCAAAATAATAAACAGGATGTGAGCATGCTGCCTTGTGACGTCAGCAACCTTTTGATGGGGTGCTGAGATTAGTGGCTACCGCAGGAAGTGCACACCGTTGACGGGAAACTCTTTCGTTCTCAAATATGGTATGCTAATTTTATTCGGATATCAAGTGAATTTTATTAAATATATTTTTTAATTGAATAAAGCTGGTTTCTATGTTATGTTAACTGGAAATCATGTGCTATTGTGTGAACTCGTTCTAGCGAAACGATTAAAATAGAATTTATAACAAAATAAAAGTATGCATCATATATCCAAATAACACCTTTCTATGCGATTTTCATGGATTTGAGCAAAGCGATAAAATGTTCACAGCTATTATTTACGAGTATGTGAGTAAGAGCAAATGTGGTGAATTGTGAAAATAAGAGAAAGAAAGACAAAAGAGAGGGAGAGAGAGAGAGAGAGATTTAGATCGTGAATAAGATAGAGAGTATAGGCGGGAAGAGGATAAGTGCTTGAAAGAGATATGAGAAAAACTTTATCAGATTAATTATCGCCTTAGTTCGAAGTGCTCATTGAAGAATATATATAATATTTTACGAGGTCGGATCGATCTAGAAAACCTATTAAAATAGTAATTATGTAATTTACCTTTAGACTAATTAAATAAAATATTAAAAATACTAAATATTCTTAGAGCATTACATTTTTAATTTAACATGAGTGAAAAAAACTGTCAGCAACAGTGTTGCGAAACGAGTAAAATGTTTTGAATTCACTGACCAACACTTAGTAAATAAGTATTTACCAGCAAAATGCACAGATGAATTTTTAAAAAAGGCCAACTAAAAGCGGAGAAAAGTGAAAAGAGATATTAAGCGTTTGCTTGTTGCCAGCTTTTCGCGGCTTGTTATCATCAATCATGGCAAATTATGACTACATTTTTCATCGAAACGGGCAGCGACTGCAATCTGCATACAAAGTTGGGTTCTACTTTGAAGCGTTGCACAGTTGACCTTAATATGTCCTTGACCATCGTGTAACGCACTAGACTGATGTGCGAATTTGTCATGCACATTGACAGTGAGTGATGGAATGCTTTACAAAGTGGAAATTGTTTTCTGCATTTTGACAGGCTTCACTTTAGATGAGAAGAGTCGTGTGTAACTAAGTTACCTGGTTGCAGCAATGCTTAAATTAGAATCTGTAGCTTAAAGAGTTACCGTTCAAGTTGTTTGTCATGTTCCGCTTTATGGGCCTAGTCGACATGTTTTTCATTCAATTTTCCAGCCTCTAAAAGCAACGTCAAAAAATGCACATCATATGGAAAATAAAGGCGAAAACATTTGCGGCTGTCGTAAATTTTAATGAATTTATAAACAAACGGAAAAAACAACGAACATTTTATAAGGCAAATACAATATTGATGCCAACACCTACTGGCAATGGGCAAATATCTTATATACACACTCCTACATAAATGCCTCATGTACAGAGCTATATGGTGCTATATCCATGCACACTCTTCCACGCA